CCAAGATTATTTTAACAAAAAATGGATAAAATTAAGTATTGAGCAAAAGCTAAAAGACCAATTTCGACAAGACTGGTTTGCAGATTTACATCAATCCTCGAAAAGTTTATGTTATTGAATTTACAAGACCGAATTTAAATGTGAAAAGTATTTATCGATTTTGACTTTTAATTTTTTATATACTTTGTGTTTTAGTTTGCCAGTGGAGACGGGAAGGTGGCAAACTATTCCGAGATCGGAAAGGTCTTGTAACCTCTGCAGCTCTACAGATATTGGCGATGATCTACATAATGTCATGCAATTTTTTCAACATAGAAAGAGAAAAATTTTACCACATTATTGTAACAAAAATGCTAACATTATTAAATTTAATCATATATTTTCATCTGAAAATGTTGTTGAACCAGAAAAATTGTGTAGATTTATACGATACATATCAGTGAAAGTCTGTCCTCCTGGTTAGAGGAACTGTAATATTATTATATTGTTATTTATTTTCACACATGCGAAACAAAATATGTATTATATATGAACTGTTATTTTCTCTGTATATAGCTATGTACTAGTTTATGAATATAAAATCATTCATTCATTCATGAAGTAGTTTTTATGATGTCCTTTCTAATTACCTAAGCATTGTGGAAATAAAAATCAGCGATGATGTCCCTTCTAATTACCTAAGCATTGTGGAAATAAAAATCGGCGATGATGTCCCTTCTAATTACCCTAGCATAATTGTGGAAATTAAATCGGCGATGATGTCCCTTCTAATTACCCTAGCATTGTGGAAATAAAATCGGCGATGATGTCCCTTCTAATTACCCTAGCATTGTGGAAATAAAAATCGGCGATGATGTCCCTTCTAATTACCCTAGCATTGTGGAAATAAAAACGGCGATGATGTCCCTTCGAATTTGTGGAAATAAAATCGGCGATGATGTCCCTTCAAATTACCCTAGCATTTTTTTGTGAAAATAAAATTGGCGATGTCCCTTCTAATTACCCTAGCATTGTGGAAATAAAATTGGCGATGATGTCCCTTCTAATGACCTTACCATTGTGGAAATAAAAATCAGCGATGATGTCCCTTCTAAATACCCTAGCATAATTGTGGAAATGAATTCGGCGATGACGTCCCTTCTAATTACCCTAGAATTGTGGAAATAAAATCGGCGATGATGTCCTTTCTAATTACCCTAGCATTGTCACTGTGGGAATAAAATCGGCGATGATTTTCCTTCTAATTATCCTAGCATTGTGGAAATCAAAATCGGCGATGATGTCTCTTCTAATTACCCTAGCAATGTGGAAATAAAATCGGCGATGATGTCCCTGTTAATTACCCTAGCATTGTGGAAATACAAAAATTGCAGTGATGAGAACACCTCTTTAATTTAGAAAATAACAAATAACACCAGACAAAGTTGAAGAAAATTTTCAATAAAATCAATGCAAAAAATTTTTTTTTAAGTTGAATGAGTGGGTTCAAATTAGCTTTCAGTAACTGCGATTACTCTTCGATTGGTACTGCATGTGTGTCTTTTATCTTTGTGTTAGTTATTTTTAATCTTCGTGTCGATCTGCATGATGACTCAAGCCTTTTCAAATTATTTTTTACAGTTTGTTCTTATAATGTGCTGTTACGCAACTGCCCCAGATCAGGGGTAGGATTGAGCGCCACGACACTAACACGTAATGCTGTTTATATTAGACTTATTTGAGGTCAATTCCCTTGAATAAATTTCCGCAGTATAAATATACAGAATTTGTGATTATATAAAGCAAAAATGTCATCAAGAATTACGGTGAGTGTAATTAATACTGCATTTTGCATTGAAATATAAAAGGTCCTCAAACAATACAGGAACACGTCTGCTATTAAAAGGACGCAATTGACGCCTTTATAAATACATACACTCACCTTAAACGTTTTCTCAAATGAAATCGATAATTCAAATGTGTATCAAGACGGCGAAGATAACAAAGGAACAACCATAAATCATAAAAAGAAAAAAAAAAAACAGACAACACCATGACCAAAAGAACAACGACGAAACTGAAAAATACAAACAAACGTAATTCCTAGATCTACAGAAAAACACCGTGATGAACTAAGGTGCTCCGGAAGGGAAAACAGTTCCTGCTCTACATACGGCACCCGCCATGTTGCTCATGGTAAATTGAATGATGTGATAAACTGCGTTTGGAGTAGTTAATTACATTCGAGAAAATTCGGGACATGAATGTGACTTCAATGAATGGATCATATTTGTGGTTAGTCTATGACACACATATTTTATAACTTTCAACCAACATCATGACAGCGTCCGTTAAACTTTCGAAGGAAACACATAAAGTTTACCATTTGGAACCCTTGGTGTAATAGCTTCCTTGTGAGCAGAAACCCTCGAGATCTTTCAAGCAAAAAAATCAAAAAAATCATAGGAAACTTAAGGCCTAGATTATTTTACTAATTGTGAGATATATATGCAGGCGCAGCTTGAATGTTGATACAGAGAAATGGAAAGTTATAAAGGGGTGAAATTGAAATCTTCTCTTTTGCCAAAAAGTTTAGTTCTCAACCAACCCTCATTGTTAATTTCTAGGTGTAATTCAAGATGAGAAGGATGCGTACTGGAGGATTACAACTGGATAAAGTATCTCAAATTACAGATAGTTTTAACTCGATTCAGACATTAAGATATGGTCAATTTTTCATAGTTGTGGGGTCAAAATACTATAGCTATAACGTGGTCAGCTTTTCTTTTCCAACATGTTTTTTTTCTCCGATACTTGCGGGAGTATAAACCTGGAATAAGAATCTCAAATACTGTAATAACTTGAATTTATAACATCTAGGGGATAAAGGGGGTGGTGGTCAGAATGCCATGGCTGAAACGTGGTCAGCTATCTTTTCGAACATCTTTTTTTATTTTATTTCGAAATACTAATTTGAGCATCTACCTAGAATAATTATCTCAAATATGTTTTTTTTCTCCAATAATTGTTGGAGCATAAACCTAGAATAAGTATCATAAATACCATGATTTTTTAAATTTATGATATCTAGGGGATAAAGAGGAGGGTCAATGTGCTATGACTAAAACGTGCTCAGCTATCTTTTCCATCATATATAGAAATAAGGAGATGAGGTATGAGTGCCAATGAGACAACTATCCATCAAAGTTCAAATAAAGTGGATGTAAGCAATTGTAGGCAACCGTACGGCTTTCAACAACGAGAAAAACCCATACCATATAGTCGGATATAAAAGGCCCAGATATGAAAAATATGAAACAATTCAATTGAGAAAACTAACGGCCTAATTCATAACAAAACAATTTACGAAAAACAAATATGACAGACTTGACATATATGTATTTTTTGTTTCTAATACTTACTGGAGCATATACCGATTGGTATCTCACAAATCGCGATAACTGACATCTATAGGGAATAGAGAGGTGAAGTGTAAAAATACCATGGCTCAGAAAAAGTATATATCTCAACATGCATTTTAGCTCTTCAGGTCATGTGAGCTTTTGTAATCAGTTGGTGCCAATCCGTCAGCTTTTCAACGTTTGAAATTCTAGAGAATCACTGGCCAGAATAAAATCCAAACTTAGCACAGATATTGCTTACGTGGTCTCTTGCTGCTCCTTTTAAGAACAGTTCTAATGAAAATAAACCATTTAAAACTTGCCATTTGTTATTACTTTGGCCTTGCGGAAAAGTAAAGCATGGCACCAGGGACCAAAAAGATATCCAATTGGTCCAAAGATCTTCTCTAGAACCACTCATGTGATTTAAATCATAACTGCCAGTTATGTTCCAGTGAAAAATCAAAACAAGTGTTATTACTTTAATTGGAAATTTAATATGGCCGCCAGTTTACACTGAAACCAAATGGGTTAATACATTTTGTATTACTTTTCCCAAGTACATGCAAGTGAAAAGAAATGAAAGCAACCCATGCAAAAACGTTCTTTGAAGGGTCCTTACCAAGTGCTGTTACTTTGGTCATGAGGGCTTCAAGGGACAAAAGGGGTCTAGTTGGTCGGATTTTCAAAGATCTTCTAAAGAACCACTAAACCAATTAAAAGCAAACTTGCCAGATGTTTCAGTAAATGGTCCAGAGGGTGACATTTCTATACTTGTTTGATTGTATTTTGATACCTCCCTATTACCATAGGTATCACAACACTTTCTTAGCCAAGCCATAAATCAGGCAAAGTCAACACCCATGCACTGTATTCCTTTTTATATTTTTATCAAGTTAGTCTCCAATTTTTTCCATAATTTTCAAACTTTGTGGATATACTTATACAAGGATAGATCAAAGTTTGACATATTCACATTATTTTTCTCCTTGAAAATGTTGTAAAAATGAGTGACGCACGAAAATAAGTTGGTTTAAAGTAATGTGTGATGAATCTGGTTCGGGTATTTCCTGATATTATTGTCTCATGTACAGACCACAAAATCCTGGTCCCCTTCCCCCAAATAGATAAAAGTGAAAGTACAGATAACAAGTGATGACTAGCTAAGGTTTTAGACGATAGTTAGACAATCAAATCATTAGCCAGTAGACTATTTTTGTATTACAAACATTTGACTACGGAATATGTAATATTTTGACAGGTTACCTACTGTGTGGTAGGACATTATGGTACTCTGTCGAGAAAGAACAACTAAAAGAAGTAAAATTAAGCTTACAATCGATGCAATTTGGGGGAAAACATTTAACTGTTATGTTTTCTATACACCACAAAATCATTGCATAACAGGTAAATTTTTCCTGAAAATTGTAAAGATTATAAGCTTGATATTACTTCTTTTAGTTGCTCTTACTTGATAGAGTACCAGAGTGTCCTACCACAGAGAATGTAATCAGTCATCATTCATATACTAGGGAGTCGATAGCATGAAAATAGTCTATTCTAACACCAAAGTAAAATAAACACCAATTCTTGCTGTCGAATAACACAAAATAAAAGCCATTTATATTTCAAAAATATTTTATTGTCATCTACTTCAGTGGTAAAAGTAAAATAAAGTGGAAAATAAAACAACTAAACCATGTTTACATCATCTTGTACAACCTTTACTTAAATCAACACTGGGTGGAATCATTACAATTGCATTACTCATTTCATCCGGTTGATAATTTTCAATCCTAAGATTTTTCAAATGAAAAAGACTAGTAATATTTAATGAATCATATCTACTATATGTGGTACTGTCAATCAATAAAATACGATCTTGTAGAGTACTAATAAAACATTGTAACGGTTGTTAACATAAGTTATTTCATTAATCTGAACTTCCAGTGCTACCGTACTGTCAATCTTCCATTTTTTTTAGTGAATATTTACCATGAAACAATATCATACATCTATATTTTAATCTGAATTCACATTTAATGACATTGTTGATTCTTAACAAAATCCAATAAACTTATGTGAAGTTTAGTTATCAACTAAACTTTATTTACTTTTATCATGCAGATCGACATATACAAAAACTTTTTAATTTAAAAATTTTTTTGGATTTGGAAACTGTTAACCAAAATTTCTGCATACAGATTAATCAATTTCTGCTGGTAACAATAAGAAAATAGAGATCCATTTTAATAGAGTCTTGAAGGTTAAATAATTTCATCAATGTATAATAAGGTTTTGATGGTAAAATTCAACCAAGTATATTATAGCCAACATGATATGTTAAACAATAACCAAATTGACATTTGAACTGTAAAATACCCCCAGTACAAAAACTCTTGTATTAAGGAAATTTTACATTACCGAACAAAAAAAATTTCCTATTGAAAAATGTCTTTAAGTAGATTATTCCACTAGATTAATAGTGATCCCAAAAAAAATGTTATTTTCAATTCATACTTCTACATTTATGACTGAAATCAGACTTGAACTAGCTTATACTTGTAACTTTAAGTAGAACGAGTAAAACTGTAATAAAATAACAATATTTTGGCAATTTCATCTAAGAAAATAATTTTGTATTGAGCAAAATGAATTTTAACATTCTTTGTTGGCTTTCACAACTGCAATTCAATCATATGTCACTAAACTGCTATGTATCTTAAGGGAAATTTTCCTACATCAAACAAATAATAATAAAAAAATTCAGTTAAATAAACCAATTCATTATGTAATTGAATAAATTCTTATAATTCATTATATAAATAGACGTTTAACTACTGACCATTCATTACAGTAAATAAAACTCAGAATTGTTTTCTGGTGCAATGGATTTCTTTTTTCTTCTAACTACTGGTATATTTATAATAGTCTGAGCAGGTTACTGTGATTTTGTAAAATTCAACAGCAATATCTTGATTCTGTGAGAATAATTCATACAAGGAAGGGAGACAATTCTAATAAAACTCAAAGGAAGCAAATTAAAAATACAGCAAGGGAGATAACTCTAATCTATTGGGGGAAGGTCAGGCAACACTATCAACAAAATTTGACTGACAAAATTAACATTAACATGATTATATAAACAAGAGACTTCAATCCAACTAAATATACAAAATAAATAAATCAAATCAGAAATAAATAACAAGAAAAGGCTAAAAACAAAAGAATTTATACATATTATAGTACTAGCACCAACAGTCCTTAACTCATCAACCTCACAGATATTGTCATTTTGAACACGTTTTTGTATTATTATCTCTAAGAGAACTATTAGTTAAATCTGTCAATATTTACAGAGAAAATAAAGCTGTTTAACAGCTAACAAAACCCTGGAATTTTAGTACATTATATCTAAATAACAAGAATATATAACACCAAACCGTACTATTTATGTAACAATTTGAACTATCCAGCCATTCAATCAGGTCAAAACAAAAAAATCATTCTTTATCTTCTTAACAACTGCTAATTTTACTACAAAATTTCAGACCAGATTTGTCTGAAGATTGTTACTTATAAGATTTACCAAAGAAAGGTAACTGACATTAAAAAATAGAAATTAACAAAGGCCTTCAGAGTTGAGACTTGTTTCTTACAACAATACAATACTGGCATCTATAAAGAGACACATGATAGATACAACAACTTACTGGTCAAAACTTAATTCCTCAGGTACATTAGACTACAAATTTTATATCCTTTCTCTAGGTAAGACTTTTTCAAACATTTACAGTACAGCCAGTGACAGATCCAGAACCAAGGAGATGCAATACATAAAGTTTAATCAAATGCTTTCAATACATAACAATTTTCTCCACCTTTTTAAAAGAAAAATTACATTGACACATATTTAGCATAACATTTAAAACCAACATGTGCTTTGATAATCCACAAGGATAAACAACATTACATCTATATTTTGTTACAGCAAACAAAAAGGTGGATAGAGAATTTAATGTGTTAAATTTACTTGTATCAAAGGTATTGCATTTACTAACAGAGACTCAAAAACCAGAGTTCCTAATTTGATTGATTGACAGGTGTTTAACCCCACTTTCAGTAGTATTGGGCTATTTTGAGGAGGTAACTTTTTGTTGGTGGAGGAGGCAGGAGTGTTCCTTACTTGAGGACAATCTTCTATCTGTCAAAGTAACTGACTAAAATATATGTCTCATCAAAATACTGATATAATCATGTACCCTTCTTTGAATCTAATGTTTAAACAAAATACACAAATAAAAAAGGTGGACACCACGTTCTATAAAATTGAATGGACATGCTTTTAAACATCAAAATAAACATTAAACCATGGGTTTAAATTCCCAATTATTGCTTATCATTTTTCTATATAACATTTCCTAATATTGCTCAAAAATAATTTCTCAAACATTCCCTACATATTGCATTCTATAATTTTTATTATGAAATAATGCACGAGTTAACTTTTGATTCTGAAAATCTTTGGATTTATTAAATGAAATTCAAGATGAATTAATCTCTGAATATCATCATATATTATAAAATCTGTCTGAATTGCCACAAACAATTTCACAAACAAACGAGAAATAACCTGATACAGAAAATATTACTAATATTACTTCAGTTGAGGGAAAAAAATCATTATTAAATAATACATCAGATGAGGAGAAAAATGGGACATTCTGGAATGATTTTGCAGATCATCAGAAAAATAAAAATTTTGGAATGAATAATCAGAAATAATAGGTTGTAGTCAAAAACTGTTAAGGTTGTTGAAAATTATGTCATAACTTAACAATATAAACCAATAAAAATAAGTACAACAAAAACATTTATTTGTTAAAATAAATCAAATAATATCTGACTAAACAGTACATGAGAAACTGTCAGTTTTTTTCTTTCCATTACCAGGTAACTAATGGAAGATGTAAAAATAACTTTTCTCATTGAGCCTTGGAACAGAAAGAATTATTTGAATTATCCCCCTTTAGTAACTTTGTTAATTTGAAACATTTAATACATTCATTTTTACAAATCAAATTTAACTTTCCCATTTCGATATTTTTATCCTTTACAATTACATGTAAAAAATGAATTAAAAGAGACCACATTTAAACACTGAAAGCGATCGATTGTATGTAATGAATAGATTCTTTGGCACTGAATGTCATATTAAATACATGTTTATCATCAACTGAACCAGATTTCACATATATTGCAAACATAGTCATGTATGTGACATTTCCCTTAATTCTCATTCTTTGGTTTATCCCCCTTATTATATCTGATGATTCGTCATGAACTATTTGGAGTTTTCAGTAAAATTAATGAATATGATATGTATAATTCAACTAATCTGTACAAAGAATATCATTTATTATGACATTTAGCTTCATGCTATCCTTTTTTTATTTTACAAAAAATAATAATAGGAAGCTTAGCTCATAAAGAAACAAAAAAAAAATCATTCCTCGGGGAGATAATCCATACAAAACAAAGAATCATGGGAAAGAAATATTGTCATGTTATGATTTGAGACAGATTGCACTGACTAAAGGTAAACATTGTATGATTCTGTAATAAATATTTGACATTGTATGATTGTGTAATAAATATATGACATTGTATGAAATATGGTAAATCAAATGTCAATTGACAAATATTCAATGCTGAATGATTTGTGAGTTGTAAGATTCTGAATAATAAATACTCCAAATTGTATAGCTTGTGTGATATAAGAATATCTAATATTGCAGGACTTGTTTGATAATATAAAATGCTGAAAACCAAATATTCAACATTGTATGACTAATGTGGTATGAAACCCAAAAAAGCACACATTCAACAATGAACAACTTGTGTTATATAAAATGCTGATACTCTGTCAAGCTTGTTTGATTGGCTGACGAATAACATGTAAATAAAGTGTTGACTGATACAAATGTCTAAATACAAAAACAGTAGTAAATTGCTTAATATAAATGTTGTAAATTATCTTACCAAAAATATGAAGTTAATGTATGTTCCAAAATAATACAAAACTTGGGAGATGAAAGCCAGCTGTAAAGAAACATCTATCTTTCAGAAAACATGAAATAATATCAAGAACCAAGCAACACAAGTTAAATGCCACATTTGCCATTCTGGGGGTGAGAGAAATTCCTTCTCATATTTTGTACATAGTCAAACAGGCAGTTAATCGGTAGATTTTGTTTTTAAATGTTGTTGAAAGTATTCCATTCAATAGATCTCAGAAATTTTACTTGAACATGGGTCTATGTTATAGTTTAATACTGACCCCTAATGACAAGCACATGACATTTGACCTGTGTAGTGGCTTAACATTGCACACATCCCTATCTTTTACACACACAGCACATAAATCATGTTCTTGTTATTAAAATATATTAAAATACTTTTCCAATCTGGTTATTGAGAAATTATAAAATGTTTATAATTTTAATTGATCCTTATTTATTAATTAAACATTTTGTAATCTACTGCTACCAAAAGTTGATGAACATCACAAATCAAAATATCAGATCTATATTCTCATTGCAAATAAAAAGCAAATGTAACGTTTTCTGCCAGTCATATATGTTATAGTGAATACCAATACCAAGTACTCACAATTCCAAGGATGTTTGCCTAAGCCTTATTTATGTTCAATCAATAATTTCTCTCATTTAAGTGCAAATTAATTTTGAAGTGGCATTTTTTTAAGGAAACAATTTAACTGTGAAAATTCATTGTAATATTCACAGACATTCCCTACTAAGGCTCAATGTGAGACTGAGAAACATTCAGAAGTTTTACATAATTATACGGCAATGTTTTATCTTTTTTCTAATATGTGGCAGGTAATAGTTTTGTATGTATTTTTCCTAATTTCTCTTTTAAATCCAAAAGGGAGTTGTTTCACAAAATAAAGGTGGCCACAACAAGCACCTTGATGATTGGACAGATAACACTAATAATGTCAAATATGCAAATTACTAACTTCATATAAAAATTAACAGATAATGTAACAGGTAAGTAAAGACTTATGACTTTCCTTTAGTTTCTTTCACTAAATCAAAGCTTTAAATGTGGCAGTAAATTTTGATTTCTTTATATTTATAAATAAAATTCAGCAATAGAAAGTTTTCTCTTGACGTACTTTGAGTAAAAGTTATGTCTCTTTGCAGTACTGTTGGAGGTCAACCAGCATAAATTCCTTGAATAAATCAACTAAATTCAACTTGATATAGTAACCGCTGAGACTTATGAAAACATAGTTTTATTAGAAATTTTGTATTCGCTTAAGTCTTGTATAATTCATTGCTATGATCTAGCAAGGATCTCTTATCAGAATTATTTGTACTACACATTTTAACTTCATTAGTTAAATAAGGAATCAAACAGTTTGCCATCCTGTATGGTAGGCAAGGGAAATAACTCCAGCTCAAAAAGGATTATTGGAAACTATCTATACCATTAGAAAATATAATTCTGTTTATGCAAAACAATTTTGATTGACTTCTCACTTCTCTGTAAGTATCTTTCATGAGTAAAAATAAAAATCTTAATGAAAAATGTTTAAAAAAGGTGAAATTTGATTAATATCAGCTGTAATGTTCTCTCCATTATTTGACAATGTTTCTTTAAAGCAATAAAAAGCCAAATAAATTTCATTTGTGCAGGCTTTAGCACTATAAAGACGACAAATATTAACAAACAGATTATTATCAACAAATTGTTCATAGATCTGTAACTTGATAATGATGGGATGCACGTTTCATTGGTGGACCTTGTTGCATTGGTTGTTGGCCATAAGGACCAGGACTGTATCCATAATTCCCTCCATTGGGTGTTGGCTTGATTGGTGGAGGTCCTGGTCGGCCTGGGTATGATTCCAGTGAGGCTGGCATTATAGCAATGCTGTCTCTTTGTTTTCCTGATGAATCACTTGTTAATTTGTTCTGTATATTATGAGTGTATGGATCAAAATAGAACTGTTCCTCTGGAAACATGACGGAAAGCCGTTTTATATGGCAGCTATGACACCACAGATGATCCTCAATTGGATAACAACGTTTGCCTGGCTCGTCTGTTAGCTGGAGACCACAATCCTGAAATTATACAAACTTATTCAAATTGTTCTCTTAGTTGTCAATGCAAACATGAATATTTCTAGAAATTCATCAAATTGATTTTTTTAAGTCAGTCTTATATTCCTTCATACTGACTAGCTGTTATTTGGGGGGAGTTGTATGGTTTATATGTTTTCATTGCTTTCTAATAAAACGTCAAAGTAATTTCATTTAATTTCAGAGTTGTGACATGAAACAATCTAATATTGGGCATAAACAGACATATAGATGTTAATACAGAATGATGATTTAACACAGTAAAACTTTATGATGAGCTCTTTCTTTTAAAGGTTAAAATCAATTACATTAAATCAAGCAAAAACAGCTTGTAAGTGAAAACAAAACCTCAGCCAAACTGTTCAATCTAATGCACACAGGAGGAACATTCCAAATAGCCAGTGAAATGATTCATTAGTGCTCAAATGTATCAGTTATTCCACACACAAAAAAAAAAAACACACTTTATGACCCTTCCATCATGCATTCTGTGTGTGCACTTTGAACTTCCATTATCATAACCATAAAACTAATAACAATTTTTTCCATAGTTGCTGAATATTTACTTATAACGTGAAAATTTAAGGATAAGTTTTTCTATGGGATTTCCCATTTTTTTAAATTTGCAGACCATTTTAACGAAGTCCCCATTCTCTGTAAAAATAGTAATTTTTGCAAGGGAAATATCATACCTGCCTTATGACTTAACAATAAAATCATGATTTTAGATATATTTGTGGCAGTTTCAAAATTATTAGTCAAAATCTACTTCCTTATTTATTTTCAAAATACAATGAAACCTTTATAAACTGAACCCTGAGTAAAGTGGACTCCTGTATCATTTCATACGGCAGTCATCACTTAGTAATCTAATCTGTGTACTTCTGTATCATGGCATCGTATTGATATTTAATAGTGTTACCTGCCTAATTCATACAAAATCTTCAGTCCTCAAAGGGTTCAGATTAAACAGGTTTCACTTTTTTAGATTAATTCCTCGACTAATCAGTCATAAGGGTACAACACACAAAGAATAAAACTTTACAGATTTCATTTATTTTTTTTTCTTACAAATAACATAGTTTTAAATCTAACAAAGATTTTGCTATGTATCAAACATTGATAAAATGTCACAACCACAACCAGTACAAATGTATTTAAAGTAACAAACAAAAAACTGCAAACTATTATCTACTCCCTCGCAAAAACAGATAAAGTTTTCAAAATTATTATTACTTACTTAGTTTATTGTCAAACATATTCCTTTAACAACACAGATAAAACATAAATTACTCCCGATTCTAATCGACAATGCGTCTGTTTTGTTTGGGGTATATGTCATAGAGAACACAAACCAACAAGAAATTTAAACAAAATAAGAAAAGGATATCTAGAGGTCAAAACAAATGATCCTGATCAATAAACAAATGTCAATATCATACAGCAAGCTCTATATCAGAATAGAGCTTAGAGAAATAGACAAATGTCATACAGCAAGCTCTAAATCAGAATAGAGCTTAGAGAAATAGACAAATGTCATACAACAAGCTCTAAATCAGAATAGAGCTTAAAGAGAATACGTTTCTATCTGATGATAAACAAAAGGGATAAACCAAATACATTACATGCATCTATGTAAATAAAATACTTCAAAGTAATGATGATATGAAATCTAGGACTACAAAAATAATACACAATCAGTATACCAATACTAATCAAAAGATCTTGGAAAAACTTTATCTACTTTTAATAATTTAAATATTTTAAACATAACTGCAAAAAGTTTGGAAAACAAAAAATATATTCATGCTGTACGGTGACAAATATTTCTATCTAAACATAATGCAAAACCTTTCTTACTGATTGTCTAATGGTACTCTATATCTGTGGAAGCAAATAAAAACATTGTACATACCATAGATAAACCATGCATTCAAACTCCTTATAAATCATACTTGTATCTTAAAGCATAGACACGTTGTAGACTCATCCGTCATAAAGCTAACTATTCAATGAGGGAAAAATCTTAACAAATTTTGTTTTAATTTGGAATAGAATCGAATGTTATATGATCTTATAAAAAGATATAAAATCCTGTTATTAAATAGACAGACATCTAATATATACCTAGAATCATGTTTGCAAGTGTCAAAAACATTTTCAAAACTCTCCACATGGTTTTGATTAGGAGTAACCTTTTTTCATAAAATTTGTCTCAGTAAAATGAAGGATTAATCATCAGAGTTTAACACCATATTGTAAAAACTAGAAAGGATTTTACTCATTTTTATACTTATAATGTCTTAATAAATATGAACTACCGCAACAATAGATAAGAAGATAAATTTTGCTTTCATAGAAAACTGGACTTATAAACTTGTTAACTAAAATGATTCAAGTTATTTTTCTCTCAGTCTGATAGAATACAAAGAGTTTTGCATGTCATGAAACCACTCTAATCTTATAACCTTGCATTGACAAAATTCATATTTCAGTTATAGTAATGTGGCCAAACTGATCAATGCAATTAAAAGTTTTACAGAAATAAACAAACTAAAAGGCTGCAACATAAAACCTTGGATACAACAAACTACGTCAAATTATCAGAACAACATACACACAAATAATAGATGATGTATGTGAGCTACTGCTATGATACCCTAGCTGTAAGTATTTGGTAAACAGGAAGTTGATGTGAGCTACTGCTATGATACCCCAGCAGTAAGTATTTGGTAAACAGGAAGTTGATGTGAGCTACTGCTATGATACCCCAGCTGTAAGTATTTGGTAAACAGGAAGTTGATGTGAGCTACTGCTATGAACCCCAGCAGTAAGTATTTGGTAAACAGGAAGTTGATGTAAGCTACTGCTATGATACCCCAGCTGTAAGTATTTGGTAAACAGGAAGTTGATGTGAGCTACTGCTATGATACCCCAGCTGTAAGTATTTGGTAAACAGGAAGTTGATGTGAGCTACTGCTATGATACCCCAGCTGTAAGTATTTGGTAAACAGGAAGTTGATGTGAGCTACTGCTATGATACCCCAGCTGTAAGTATTTGGTAAACAGGAAGTTGATGTGAGCTACTGCTATGATACCCCAGCAGTAAGTATTTGGGAAAAAGGAATTTATGTAAATTAAGCTACTGCTATGATACCCTAGCTGTAAGTATTTGGTAAACAGGAAGTTGATGTGAGCTACTGCTATGATACTCTAGCTGTAAGTATTTGGTAAACAGGAAGTTGATGTGAACTACTGCTATGATACCCTAGCTGTAAGTATTTGGTAAACAGGAAGATGATGACCAATGGATGTGAAACGGCATCACACAATTTTATCTTACTCTCACTTAGCTCTGTTTTGTTGTTCCTGACCTTAAAGCGAGGAAAATGGACAGATGTAAACCAGTATACCAACTCCTTTCGGAGCAGGGGAATATAAAAACATTACAGATCAAGAAAAAAATTATAGCCTGAAAACCGCCCAACCTTTAATCTCCTCTGAAAGTATTACAATCCTCAATACCCCTGAAACTTCCTGTTAACAAGATTGTTATCTCACCTCACAATGATAGCAGTCAACATGATAATCTTTGTCCATAGATACAACACGAACTGTTTCTTCTGTACCCTACAAATCAATAAAATTACATTATTCAGAAACTTTCAGTAAATATTATACATCAATCTTTCAGAGATAAATTTAGAATTATTTTCATGTTCTTTTCATGAAAATAATTAATAATTAATTTCTTTAACTTCTTGATGAGAACACACTTGTAGGGACTACAAAACTCTGACTAAATTTTGTTATGCGAGTCTTTACATAGTTGGTTTGCTTTCAAATAGAAAAGATTAAGCTTCTGCTGTATTCTTGATGTTGCCAAAAATTTTTATAATCCAATAACATAATAAGTTAAAGTCATTTGACTGTCAATGTGAATAATTTAGTTTCTTAATTTAATCCTGTAATAATTTATCTGTAAGACTCACCTCTACTGGAGTTATAGCTTGTCCACATGCCGCACATTTTGGTGCATATGTCCTGAAATATTAAATACTTATGAAAATTTTTCATTTCTTTTATATTGAAGTGAGAAACTGGAAAATAAAGCAATCTGGATTAATTTTATATTCATTTGTATTATTATAATCACATGACTTGTTTTATATTATGCAAGAGTTTCACAGTCGGAAGGATAATATTCCTATTTTTCGTAGTGACCTTGCTGCTGATCGTGTATTTTCTAAAGACATTGACATTCTGATGTTTTCTATTGATTGTAATTTCTTTGGTAGTTCATGAGTCTTCACCCTATAGAAAGGTTTTGATTGACACAATTTTAGCAAGAGTTACTTCCCTAATTCCCTAATGCACATATTCCTTCATAAATCAGCCAAATTAAACTTGGTATACTGACTGCTAGACTTTAAAAAAAGCTGTTTTCTGAAAAATTTTATTTCTTTGAACCTTTCTCGATTCACTACTACGATCTAGTAAGGATCTTTTATCAGACTTCATTTCAATTTGGTTAGTCAAATATAATAAACTGATGACGCAGAGATATGTCCTGCCTTTTTGTAATTTGATAGTATAATGCAAATATTTAATCCAAAATGGCAATATTTAAACATGTAAACTATGCAAAACATTCTAAGTCAATGAACCATAACTTATGGTACAGGCCCAAATAACCCAATGGAAATGAAAAATGCCAATGCTTATAAAACTGCTTACCAAATATCATTGACCTATCATAAGTGGTTCCCTTTACAATAACCTAAACACTAACTATAATTTGTAAACAATGTAAAATTTCAAAGTTAATGAACCATGCTGAGGGGGTGGGGCCATATAATCACCATGGAAAAGAGACTTGCAAATGCTAATACAACTGCATACCAAATATCATTGACTTAACATTAGCGGTTCCTGATAAATTGATCTAATCGCAAACTTAACAGGTAAACTATACAAAACATTCAAAGTCAATGGACCATGACTGAGGTTTAGGCGCCAATAATTTCCATGGAAATGAGATGTGTCAATTCTAATGCATCTACATACCAAATATCATGGACCTACCACTAATGGTTCCTCTTATACTGACCTAATAACAAACTAATACATGTAAAGTAAGCAAAAGTTTCAAAGTCAATAGACCATGACTGAGGGGGCAGGGTCAAATAATCTCCATGGAAATGAGATGTTCCAATGCTAATACAACAGCATACCAAATATCATTGACCTACCACTAGTGGTTTGCCATAAATTGACCTAATCACAAACTAATACATTGTTGAAGCAGCCGCCACTGTCAGAAACAGCATACCTTAGTCTCCCTTTTTGACTCAGTCAAGGCGAGACATAAATCAACCATTTACCTCTCCAAAATGGAGGCCAAGGGAAATAACTCAAACCCACATTACATCATACCAAAACCTATCTATATCTAAATGTTTCTGAAAATTTACCTATGATAATCTTCTATACAATAAATTTTGTTGTCTACATCAATCGTAAACGGCACTCCATCGAGACAGTCATTACATACACAACACCTAAAACATCCAGGATGATATGATTTACCCATGGCCTGTAATATCTGAAAAAGATCAATAACAAATCATAACTCAACTTTTATATACATTTGCCTTTCAGAATGTAAAGGACCATTGGTAATTTAATTTCTTTGTACAGTTCACCTACATTGATCGTGAATAACATGGTGAATATGTTAGTTTTCTATTATACAAAGTAACATTAGTAATAAATGTACCAGCAGACAAAATGAAATTAGCCAAGACATGTACATTAAATTTGGTAAATTTCAAAATTCTGTTACACTAATTGAATGTTTGAGTCCTCAAAGGTCAGCATGTGTCATCTGCCACCGCCAAATAATATAAGCAGAAAAGTTTTGGTATGGGAAACCCCAAAAATCACACAGATCAAAAATCAAAATAACAGGTGGATAACCTCTTGTCCTGTAGACGAATCTGTCCCCAAGTTTTAACCTAATTTAGCCTTACCCAACACCTACTTATATTTACACTGTAAAACTAAACTTTAAAAGTCCTCATTTTTCCTCTGTGCTATCAGTCCAGATGTCTAACATGACAAAGCCAATGAATTTTTAACTCGTCTTGTCATGGGGTATGACAAAGGTACATTGTATCAGACAGTCAGTCTATGTGATAAGATGTCAGACAGATCAGACAAAACTGGAGTTATTCATTTAAAGAAAGCTTTGTAGCATGCATAGAAACACACCATTTTAGAACAAAAATTCAAAACTTACATTTGGACATTTTTTATAGCACTCACCTTTCGAATGACTTTTTACAATTATTTTTACAATTACAATATGTATTCAAATTTTAGCAACATTTCCATAATAACAATGAAGTGGAATTAAGGTCTTATATATAGATAAAAGAAAGTTTTATAGGATTCTAGGCATGTTTTATTTTATCAACCTACACTTTGATGAATTGACTGTGGTTTTTTGACAGCAGTTGGTTAAAATTTCTGACCAGTTGAACAGTTTGGTCTGATAAAACAAATTGCAATTGGGTCAGAATTTTGAATGAACTGCAATAGGTGGAGAGCAACATGTAAAGTCAAGGCACAGTATATATAATCACATTATTTTAATAATAACAAAAAATTATTAACTTAACATAAATTTTTATGATCGTTAATGTGTACCTTTAATTTGAATAAGCAGATAACTATCTTATGGTATTTGGATTGTTTAAACCAATGTTTTATCAATTTCCTACACAACATGCATGACTACAAGTGCACTATTTGTGACAATGTACAAACAATGCATAGGAATTTAAAAACAAAACAAGTGTAAAGCTTGATTTAACTTGCAATTTCCTGGTTTTAGTAATAAAATGTAATTATTTGAATCGAATGATTCTTTTCTGTAGTTTATAGCCTTAGGGTTGTAAAAATGTTCGTACAAAATGTGATTCATTAAAAGCTTTAAAACCCAATATAACTACAAAATGAAACATAAAAATTCTTAAAACATTCAAATACTTACCATTTCCATTATAAGATGACCACAAACACAACATTTTTCTGCCGTCTGTTGAAAACCAGAATACTGAAATCAAAATTATTTCTATAATGAAAACAGTTAAAAAGCTGAAAGAATATTCTGACCAAATCTTTGTTCTTATGTTTGTTCATCAATATTTTATAATGCATTTTAACCTGTTCTAAGGAATGTGAGTGCCTACATTTTGCCTCTCACATTATGTAGTTCTCTCTAAATTCCTTTATTCTTGTGGGTACCAATCATAGTGGATTGAGGAAAAATTGTATATTCATGTAAAATTGATTTCATGGATTTGCCAAAGTCTGCATACACACATACAGTTAAATTCCTATCGAAAAATTTATACTCCTTTGAAAATTAAATTTGTAGTTTACCACTTACCTATAATGCACCCACGACAAAAAACTAGTGTCCAACGAATTATAATGTATCCACAGTAATAGAAGATGATTGGTAGTTCCGTGAATGTGAAATATATCATTTATATGATGCTTACTATAAAAAAATATCTATTATAAGTTGTATTATTACTTACTAAGTAGTCTTCTTCACAATACACCCTTCCATGGACATTATAGAATGCTTTCCCTCGCAACGTTCGACCTAAAAAAGATAGTTTAGATATAAATATCTCAAAATGTTGGTTACATATCAATATCGAAAATATTTATTGTTAGTGGAACAAACATCTGTTTCTCTTAAATTCCAGACTGATCTGTCGAGACTAATACAGACTAATACATGTATATTACATTAAGATTACCGGTACATAGATGCTTACTTTTTTCATTCCATCTGCGTGGAAATTTTTATATTCATTTAAATAAATCTACAAAATACTCCTGCACTTTCAGCACATGATAATTTGAAAAAATCCTAAAAATTTAAATGAGGGTAATTGGTTAAGATTATTTTTATAATTAAATGTCACCATATTAGAAAAAATTTGCCTTACTACACCATAACTTCCCTCTATTTTCATAAAGTTCCTTTTTCTTTTTAAAATGAACAAAATAAAAAGGGAGCTTGTATTCATGGACCTTAATAATGTGCAAAATTCCATAAAGATATGTTACATGAAACTCTAATAATCATCAGACATGTTTTGGACTGTTGATTATATTACAAAAAAGATCCAACTTTGAACAAAAAATCTGAAATTGTGAAGGACTTTTCTTTATGGAACCAAATATTGTATATTAAGATGGCACTCAGTCCAAAAATATGCTGATAAAAGGTTGATACTTTATAAATAAATATTCCAGCGTTGTTTACTGTTTCCTATAAATATAGAACTGTTGTAATTGTGATACAATTTTAGTATGTTATAAATATGAGTCAATTCTGTTGGCATGAATTTGGTAGCTATAATGCCGCTAGCTATTTGATAAAAATGAAATCCTTCTAGCATGTCTAGTTTCTATAATTACAACATATTAAACTATATTTTGTCAACCAACAAATGTTTAATTTAACATTTGATTGAATGAGAGTTTTTACTTTTTTCTCAATTGTTATGTATAAAAATATTTGATATGATGACATACACTATCAAAAGTAGTTAATGTTTATATAATTAATACATGAATGATTTGACAGTTCACAACTGAATTATCTCAAATCAGGATTAAAATGTTATTATAACACAGACTGAATCTAATTCCAGCTGAATTGTATAGTTTTCTGTTACAAAGCTGTCCAAAGATAAGACATTTTTTTGGCGGCATTTTGTCCAAGGTTATGGTTGTCTTTCTGATATTGTTTTACATCTAACCCCCTTGTTTTATTAATTTTGTATTTACATTGTGTCATAGATCAAATTTATTCGTTCAGTGTATGTTCACTTGTTTTTGTTAATATGTCTTTTGATTGAGTTAAGCCATTTCAATTGATATTTTATAGTGTGTCTTTCTATGTTGTGATGTTACACTATTGTTTCAGGAGGGTGAAGGTTGGCGCCTATTAAAACGTTTAAACCTGCTGCATTTGTTTGCACCTGTCCTGTCGGGAACCTGTTGTTCAGTGGTTGTCGTTTGTTGATGTGGTTCATGAGTGTTTCTCGTTTAAAAATTGAATTTCAGTTTCAGATTCATTCTTCAAAGTCAATTATAAAATTCACTATACTGCATTTTTCATGCATGCATAAAACCTAAGGTCAGCAAAAATATATATACAATGTATACAATGTACTTACTTCCAGTCTCCTAGCCGACAGAAATAAAGTATATATTTTTATGTAAGTAGATCAAAAAAATTTATTTTGGAAAAATATGTTACAAAGACTTCATTGTATGTAAGGAAATATTAACAGTGCTGAACTAAAAATGTTCACAAAATGTGTTTGGGTAGGCATGCAGATTTAAGGTGCATGTAGGTCAGGAGGCAAGAAAATGAACTGTGTTCTTTAATTTAATCAGTGAAACAGTCAAGTGTGTCTGTTCTCGTTTGTTTTTGAAATAGCACTGTTTTCCTAAAACTACAGCACCACATAAACACTTTATTCTTATATAATCTGATCAGATATATAAGACCATGGAACCATTATGCTATTACTAGGTCTTGCATCGAAGAACATTTAGTTACATGTATAAAATCACAATTATATAAACATGAAAAACAACATATGGTATGGTGCAGTCACTGGCTGCTGTAATCTGGTGACAACACTCCTCAACTGGAATAACTATGGCATATAAACTTACCACCAGCTCCTGTAACCCTCTCACCACACTCCCCCTGGAATAACTATGGTATATAAACTTACCACCAGCTCCTGTAACCCTCTCACCACACTCCCCCTGGAATAACTATGGTATATAAACTTACCACAAGAACAACACACAAAACATTTGGTATGGTATAAGTTGTTCATGGCCTGACGTGCATCACCGACTCCTGTAACCCTCTCACCACACTCCCCCTGGAATAACTATGGTAAATAAACTTACCACAAGAACAACACACAAAACATTTGGTATGGTACAAGTTGTTCATGGCCTGACACGCATCACCGGCTCCTGTAACCCTTTCACCACATTTAAAGCACTGACCTACAGAATCAAATAATACAATTAATATAACTTCTTCTAAAACAAAGGATATAGGGTATCCATCAATGCTACAAAATCAGTACATGCACAGCTAAAAACACACAAAAAGCAAAGGAACACGCTTTTAATGCTGTTCTTCATCTCAAAGTCACAGCGAGGCCTTCAACATGTTCAACACGGAGAAACAAAAAGAAAAAAAAAAAAAAACCTCACTGCAAGTTAAAGACGGCTTCTAGCACCGGTTTGAGGGAAATTCTTTGCAAATGATTCAATGGACTTTGTAAAATGTCATTTTCATTGAACTAGTACACATTTTTGTTTAGGGGCCAGCTGTCCGGGTACAGGATTTTCTCATTGTGTTAAAGACCCATTGGTGGCCTTCGGCTGTTTTCTGCTCTTTGGTCGGGTTGTTGTCTCTTTAACACATTCCCCATCTCCATTCTCAATTTTAAATGTAACACCACCACATGTATGAATGAATTCTAAAATTGAGGGCATAAATTGCCCGTTTCGTTTCTCAGGTATAAAGTATGTGGTTTGGTGTATCCAAAGTTCCGGTAACCAGTACGGTCTGATGTATAAATAACAGTATATTGATCCCCTCCCCCCCCCCCCCCCCCCAAAAAAAAGGTGTTGGAATTGAAAAACTTAATGTGGATAGGAATGAGGGCCAAGAATTATAGGTGATGAGCATCTTATTAAAATTTTAGTACACAAACTGGCCTAAAATTGAAAGAATGATGTGCACAAATAAGAGAAAATATCTCAAGAATAAATACACCAATAACTATAAAAATACAGAACATGCAAAACAGCATAAGTACAAATGTATATCAAGCACAGGGAAATTGAAACAGGATGCTGCTACACTGTACGAGAATTTCAATATAACAATGCTACAGTAGTTCATGACAGGTAAGGTATACATGTACACTTTTTTTGCCGGACAAGTATTAATTAGACAATTACTGCTTGTTCCAAGGTCAAAGTTATCATACCCTGCCTTTTTACAAAATGTTTTAAGCAATTGGTTTGATAAATATAGACATGGTAGAGCAATCTGACAAACATATTTTTTCTGCCGTAAAAAGCTTTTTCTTTTGTAGGATTTAGAACTTTGATGGGATGTGTCTTAGAAATATATGAATATTTCCTGGTTCTATTGTGTTTTTAATTTGCTGTTCCATTGATAATATATATTAAGTATTATTTCCTTTTATTCAGATTCTTTAATACTTAATGCGAATGCGACTGTTTGTGACACTAGATCTATTGTCGATAATAGAATAATCACTTTTGCATTTTGGTGTTTGATATATTCTTTTGATAATGTTATGCATTTCAAAAAGTATGAATATCTTTTGAATTAACAGACAGAATTACAATATTCATAAATACAGTCCTACTGACATCCTTACCACTAACCAGTTGACACTGAACATGAGATTAATTGATGCATTTATTTTGTAGGACAGATTCACAATAAAGATGTTAAAACAAGTTCTCATAAACATATAATTTGATTTTTATATGAAAGTAAGTACATGTTAACCACCAACTTTCTTTTCTTTAGTACTATGTATAAAGAAGGGTATACAATGTGTATAGAAATAAGAAGATGTGGTATGAGTGCCAATAAGACAACTCTCCATCCAAGTCACAATGTGTAAAAAGCAAACAATTGTGTCCGTCTCTGTTTTGATTAACAGAACATATAAAAGTAATTACCTACATACATTTTCATTTAGAAATCAAATACAAGAAATGTAATATAACAGAAAATCTGACTTTTTTTGCTGTATCTGGTACATGTATCTCTGTGCAATCAACTTTTCAAGGACATTTTTGCAGGATGCTATGAAATCAATTTTTATTTTAAAATTGTCACCTTTTCTGCCAGAAATACAAGCCACTATTATAAACTACATATCAAAACCAATGATAATTTGGTCTGTTGTATATGGATGATCATCATACAATTAACATCATCTACACAAGAAAATTTTGTACCATACACTGTATGATTTCATATTTCTGTTTAATCATTTTACATAAATTATATTGTTGCCATTTCTGTTTAATCATTTTTCATTGTTGCCAGACACAATGTATTTTGAAACCAGAAGTCATCATGAAAATTGAAATCCAAAAATGTTACACTATTGTACAAAATGTACACTTAGTCAATGCAAGTTATTTTTTGTTAAATTTAAATTTAAGAGTTAAAGTCTTATTGGGGTCTAATAATAACTTTACTAACACTTAAATTCATCTTTTTTAAATCTAAATAATCTTGGGTTCAAGCTACCCTGCAATTATTTTAGGAGGGGTGCTGACACATATAATTGAAAAATCAAAAAGTGATGCTTGGCAGAGCATAAAATTGTTAATAACCCTTATTGTAGTAGTCACCAAACTTTTTACCTTTCGAACCTTATGAACTGATATTTAGTCACATCCTTGGTTTAATCGTAATGTTTACACTTAGTCAGAAACCTCAGATAAATGTGACGAAACAGGTATGCCCAAATTTGTCAGGTATAATGACACAAAGCACATGTAACGATATATCAACAGTTAAATGGTAATAACAAATGAATTATAATACATGTAAATGTTCCGCTATCGTTCGATCAGTTTTAAAAAATTTAAAAGACTAAATAAAATTTAAAGGAAATTCCTTTCCTCTTAATCACTTATATATTTAAATCCCCAGGTTATAACTGTAAGCAAGACACCTTTCTAAAAATGTCAAGTCTGTTTCTTCCTGCAAGCATACAATTTATCACACTTAAAAATTTAACCATGTTTACTTTTTCTAAAGTAAAAGTTTTCACTGTTAGGATTTACAATCTGTTTTATAACTATACTATCTGCTTAATTGTAGAAATTATACAATTGTCTGGCTATAATTACATAAGGACAATGCTTATTTTGTTTAAAGAACTAAATATTCATGTACTTTCTTCAAAAATATGCAGTATATTTCAGTCACAAAAATTTAGCTGTAGGGTTTTGTTTCAATACCAATATAAACATGTCAGATCAATTAGTAGTACAGTATATATATATATGTTTTTGAAGGTACATGATTATAGTACACTCTTAGTGTTAGTCCATTTTGTCAAACATGTTTTTATAATTTATATTAATGATAGGTGTTGTTCATTTGTATCATACTTCCAATATATTCAAATGTGCGATACCAAAAGACCAACAGTGAGACAGACTTGTAACGTTTAATCTAACAAGGTAATAGCACAAGGAAGGGGGGTCCTCAACATGGGATTTTGGGTGCAGACATATGCATGCAGCTGTATTTAAAAAAAAACCACCCCAATTCATTCATGTATATTGAAGTCTTAAAAGCTTGTGAAAATTACAACCCATAAATACAAATGTATATTTCTCAGTGATCTGTTCATTTATAACATCTTAATTAGATTAAAAAGGATAAAAACACCTATATATATATCTATATATATATATATATATATATATATATATATACGTATACAGATACATTTTGTATCAAGTTGAAAGATTAAAATATTCTGATTCATTTTAATTGACATTTTACCATTGTGAAATTGCAACCCATTGGTAAAATTGACCTATCAAAGAAGGGACCCATTCTAGTGGCACAACATATATACATGTATCATACATGCAGAATTATATGTAAAATCTTTGTATGAATTAGAATTCTGAATAAGTCAACTATGTGGACAGTCTAGTTATCAATTCAAGTTTAATGAAAATTATATAAATGATTTTATAATTATTATAACTACAGTCCAACATTGGGTACAAATTTTATCATGTTTATAGTACATGTAAAACAAATTTTATATTGGAGTTCTTCATTTTGGTCATTAAATGTACATTTGTACATTGTAATGTGCATGTACATCTTTGATGAATAATGCAACAGTATGTTTTCCTGAAAATAACTGGTAAAATAAAAAAAAATAATGAATCTTTCCGAGTCAAATTTTCAGTGTAAATTTCACATTCAGTTATGAGGCCAAACTGGTTTATTTTCTTATTTGAAGAATCAAATTAAAACAAGTGGTACAAGCAAGTCTGATAAAAGACCCTTCAACAATATTATTGACAAACTAAACCAGGGCTTATATGCATGTGATATGTATAATCCATTTCCAACTGATTTTTACAGTTTGTATGTTGTGTTGTGTCACCTCTGTTCCATGTTAAGGAGGACTCTGCGCTCACAAACATGTACATGTACAAACAAAAAAAATGTACTTGTTTATTGTCACCGCATTACTTTTTGTGTCTGCCCTAAGTCTGGATCATGTAATTCAATGGTTTTTGCATATTAAGTTAAATGCAGCTGATTTTGTGCCCATTCACCTACAACAAGCTTAAGGTGGCAAGGAAAATAACCTTAATTGAAAACTATCTTTATACATACACTGTCACCTGATATGTGTAGCTTGATGGAGCATAGAAAACTTACCAAAATATTCACCCTGTGGTGCCTTTTCAAATTCATCCTCCAACTGTTGAGTTAATGCTGCAATTTTTTTCTCTGCTTCTGTGGGACCTTTTGTAGGTGGTGTTACACTGTATGGTAATTGAGCTTGAGGACGAACTGCTGCTGACGGCGGTGTACGTCCAATGTGACCAGATGACTGAGAGACCACCCCAGGAGCAAACATTCTCTGTTGTGAAGTAGGTTGTGATGTCTGTGTATAACGTGGATTTCTTGGCGGTATAACTGGCACAGGTTCAGTTTTATGAGGACCATGATATGGAGGCGGTGGATTTTTAGGTACTGGCGATTCTAGAGAATTTTTGCGAGAGGTTGTTATTCTCATATTGTCCTGCAACTGTTGAGTTAATGTTGCCAAGGTTTGTTCAGGATCCAAATGATTTTGATGAATACCATTTTGGTGAATGGGAACTCGTGCTGGTATTGCAGGTGGTGGTGTAAAAGTTTGGGACTGTCCTATATGGGACTCGTTTGGTATTCCAGCAAGATTAGAAACACTATTATGTGGAGATGACGAATGCTGTCTATGCTGATAAAGTATTTCGTTATTATTATTTGTCATATGAACACCAGATATATGTTGTTGCATATGTGGAGGAGCATGTTCATTAAACCTACTTTCATTCATTAAAGACATATTCCGATGTGCAACATTTTGTGGAACACCTTGATAAAAAGTATGTCCATATGAATTAGGTACTCCATGATCCTGTGACAACACAACACTGGTTCTTGGACTAGGATATTTGTCATACATCACACCAGACATTCCTGCTAAACTTGTTCTTGGGCTTGAATGTTTACTTTCCAATGAGGCGCCACTAATGCTCGAACGCGGACTCGCTAAACTTGACCGAGGACTTCCAAATTTTTGTTGATCATATGGAGGTGGAGGGTGCGAGTTTATCATACTAGTCCGTGGACTGGAATTTTTCGAGTCCCCACCACTGCTGTAATTCAAAGTGGAATTATAATCCGTACCCTGCTTCACAACCTTGTAATTCAAATTGTGTTGAGAATTTCCCATTACATGTGGGTTGTTAGTGACTGTCATATTTTGAGAAAAGTGTTGATTCAACATATATTCATGACTAGGTGCTGGATATGCTTGACGAGAAATGTAAATACTTCTATTCATTTCATTAATATTTCCAGGATTCATAGGATGTCCTTGTTCAACTTGACCCTCAATCTGACCCCCAGGTTTTGGTGGCAATTTGTTTTGTTGTGTTAAGCTTTCAAATTTATGATATCTTTCTGAATTTGATAACAAATTTGCTGGCGAAGACTTTTGGCTCTGCATCATTCTGATTCTTGCAGTCTCCTGCTCTAATGACTGTAGATTGGCCATTATCATTAATGTATTGTTTTGATACGGTCCACACACAGGAATGTGTTTCTCACGCTGTTATTTATCAAAAAATAATTTAAAACGATAAATTCTTCAATATTTTACCATTGTTTATATCCTAATTATTCAAATAAAATCCATCTTGTTCCACACTAAAATGTCAATTTCATAAATTCCATTAATTAATTTTACACACATTCCTTAGATAGCGAATACACATAACTTTGTGTTTTCTTTGTAACAATGGCGGTACTGCGGAGTGATATATATAACCAACACGTTTGTTACTTTCGTATAATATTTGATTAATTTTTTCATACGCATTGAGCATTAACATATCAAACTCAGTTTAATTTATTAAACTTCAAGTTCAATACCTTTTAATTTACTCTCAATCGCAAACATTCCATTGGCACTTATTGTGGTCTTAACGCGGAAGTTCCTGCGATTTACAGTTATATTTTTAATGTAAAGGTGTCCTCTTTAAGGTCCGCACTGAGAAAGTGGCATAATCAGGAAAACTGCGGAAATTGAGCTAAGAGAACTATTTTGATTAATAAAGTTGCAGTAATTGTTGATCTTATTGAGTTGCACACAGGAAACTTTGTATAAAAATTTACTACAAAAGAGTTGATTTTTCATTCTCTATGTTAATTTTCCATTTTTGGATGGTGATGTTCCTTTTGGCTCTTGTTAAAGTGTGAATATTACCATACTCGTTCGTGACATCCGTTTCTTGGTTGAAGTTTTCGAGTTTCAATGAACGTTATCTAGGATACAGGCTATATATAACTAATAAATTAGTTACGTCATGGATTCAAATACTTTCACTTGACATTTACGGCTCTCAATCGCAAACAATCGGCTAGTGACACTCATTGTGTAGCTTGGGACACGAAGAGGAGGTTTGGCCAGGATGCCAGGCTTCTTATTGTGGTCTTGAGGTTAATAATTACGAAAAAGGCATATCAAGACAATTACTAGAACTGCAATTCTAATTAAACAGGCTGGGCAGGTTAGCATCATACTATTCATATTCTCTCAAATTTCAACCATTGTCCAGTAATTTGGCACTACTGTAGCAAAAAAAATCTTTTAAAATGGAATAAATGCAAAAAAGAGCTCTAAGATTCATCTATGAAGATTAGAAACAGCAGTACTTCCGAGAGTCAGAACTAACACGTGTGGTTTTAAATAGTATCGCTATATTGCTGTACAAATGTGGAATGAGCTGCCTACAACAATGGTCTCATGGTAACATCATTTGACCAATTTAAAAAAAGCTGGACCAAGTACCGTGAAACATATACGATCCAACTAACAGCTCATGCCAGTGCGGTGCATGCATGCATTTTTGTTATTTAATGTTTACTTATTCAATGTTATATCTAGTCTCACTATTTTTAATTTATACCACCTTTGATAAGTGTTTAGTGTGACGATAAATTTTCACTTTTGTTCTCGTACTAGGAACAACAAAAGTTTTTATTTTGTAAAAATTAGTTCTGTACTCCATGTATACTTTACTACAAAATTATTTGTATTTACCTGTGTACGTTATTTTATTTGGCGGCATTTTGTCCAAGGTTATGGTTGTCTTTCTGATATTGTTTTACATCTAAACCCCTTAATTGTTTTATTAATTTAGTATTTACATTGTGTCATAAATCAAAGTTATTCGTTCAGTGTATGTTCACTTGTTTTTGTTAATATGTCTTTTGATTGAGTTAAGCCATTTCAATTGATATTTTATAGTGTGTCTTTCTATGTTGTGATGTTACACTATTGTTTCAGGTAGGGTGAAGGTTGGCGCCTATTAAAACGTTTAAACCCGCTGCATTTGTTTGCACATGTCCTAAGCCAGGAACCTGATGTTCAGTGGTTGTCGTTTGTTGATGTGGTTCATAAGTGTTTCTCGTTTCTCGTTTTTTATAAAGATCAGACCGTTTGTTTTCCTGTTATAATGGTTTTACACTAGTCATTTTTGGGGCCCTTAATAGCTTGCTGTTCGATGTGAGCCAATGCTCCGTGTTGAAGGCCGTACTTTGACCTATAATTGTTCACTTTTACAAATTGTGACTTGGATAGAGAGTTGTCTCATTGGCACTCATACCACATCTTCTTATATCTATATAGTGCTTGTGATTTTTTTTGTTTTTTGTTTTTTGATTTTGTTTGACTGCTTCATTTGTATAGCTTTTTCTTATCTACTATGCTTAAACAACTGACATCAAAAACCCAAGTTTTGCGGTTTTTTTAGTGTAAGGGGGCAGCACTGAGCAATCAAGTATCTACAAGGACATGTTTAATAAGTGAAAAATATTGAGATCTGATATAAAAAAAAATATGTTTATTAACAACCAATTATTATTTATTAGTACTTAAATCAAAGAATCAATGAATTTTTATACAAAATTGTAAGCGTATAGATTATCGGGTTTTCTACCCATTGTATCGTAAAATGTCAGCCGCGATCCACAATGTGAACCTTGTAGTCGCCGAGTGAGCGCAGCAAACGAGTTACAAGCTTCACATTGAGAATAGAGAATAATGGGGTACAAAAGTATAAAGAATAATTGTTGAAAATATAAAAAAAATTAGGTAATATAATACTAATCACAGAAATGAACAATGTACAGAATAAAGAAATCATCTGATTACAGAAAAATAATAGAAATTTTTTACAGAATAAGCGTTATTTTTAAAGATAAAGAAAAATGCCCTACAAATTTAAAGAATACAGAAATTAAGGACCCCATCCAGACCCTCAGATAAGCTATACCAAATAAAATATGAAAATGAAATTAAGGAGGTGTGGTATTATTATTACCAATCAGACACCTATCCACCATCGAAAGCTTGTTCAAAATTACAATAATGCGTAGAATATTCAAACCAAAGTGTCTCATTATTAATGCATTCATATGACAATTGAAGGAATCAATTTTAATGAATATTTATATATGTATATATAGAGTTAATATACATTCAAATTGTTTTTACTTTGTACTTTATTGTTTTTGTTTAAATGAATACCTAATCCTGTTCATTATGAAACAAGGAGATGTGGTATTATTACGAACGATACAACTATCACCAGTGTCTAAATAATGTGGATTTAAGCAATTATAGGTAAGGCCTTCAACAATGAGCAAAACGCATACTCTATATAGTCAGCTATACTAAAATGCCCCGATATGACAAAATGCTCCTATGCTTCTTGTGACTGAGCTCTTTTCAAAAGGAAAATAAACATCTTCTTCTCTGATGTATGCTAGTTTAATGTATGGAATATGTTTTCATCTGTCTCAGTTGCGTCGAGGTACGAAAATAATGGTTACATGTAATGGTGGATTTTACTCAAATGATATATTACGTTCTCAGTGCATGTTACGGTGACGGAATTATACTTCCCATATATTATATATTATTTTCAATGTTTGAGTATGCTCGTGGGCTAAGAAGCACAACAGATGATTCATTTATTGATGCATATATTTGTAATGAAACGATGTATGTGAATCATGTTATAACATGGTTTTTGTAAGGGCTATGTCTGGCCTGCGATTGCAGTGTAAAAGTGTAATGTTGACCTAAAAAGAGAGTCCTTTTATCAGTAAAATACAGAATTTGAAAAAAAAAATCAAACTTTTTTTAAATGCTATTTCTTGGTCTTGATGATTAGCGTATGTCCAAACTTCAGAACAATCCATGAAGGTTTACACATTTATATTTGTCAAAAAAATCCAATCCCAGACTGTCTGTAAATGTTCAAATGGACCCTAAGGTTAAAATAGCTCCCGTTTAACTCAAAATTTACTCTGAGTACAGACAAACCTGTGTATCTGGAAAAGTTTTAAGGCATAGCATGCGATAGATAAATAAAATTCAAATGCATTTTATGTATTAGAAAATTAAAAACTTAATTGGATTTTGCAGTGCACTTTTTTCGTCCCTGCAGAAGATGACTAGTAAAATTAACAAACAGTTGAAATTCACTTGATATGGTCCACTCAGTGACACAGTTTAAATCACCAATTATTGTCTGGCTATTGCCCATTTCAATCAATACAGTTCACTTCAATTATAACCTACGGGGAAGTTCTCAAACCTCTTCCCAACTTTGTTTATTTTGGCATTTTCTGTAGGAATGGAATAAAGTGCACTGCAAAATCCAGTAAAGTTTTTAATATTCTAAAACATTAAATGCATTTGAACTTTATTTATCTAGCGCATGCTATACCTTAAAACTTTTCCAGATACACAGACACGGTGACAGGTTTGTCTGTACTCAAAAGTAAATTTTGAGGTGAAAACGCAGCCATTTTAGTCATAGGGTCCACATGAACCTTAACTGTAAAAACAAGTTCATCAATAAAAAAATCCTGAAAATGAACAAAATATATTTTCCAAAGTTTGCTTCAGACATTACCCCTTAATCATAACAAAAAATCTGCCAAAGTTTCATGAAATTGTATGAAGGTTTGACAAAGTAATTGATGTGTAACAAACTTTAACCACAGACTGTACCTACTAGTTGACTGTAAAAAAAATCTAAGTCCATTTATCAGTAAAATACGGAAAATGAAAATAAACATTTAAAAAATTTTGCTCTGAATACTGTATTTTGGTCAATTACACGCTTCGGTCCAAATTTCATAATATTCCATGAAGGTTTGACAAAGTTATCGATGACTGAAAAGCTTTAACCTCAGACTGAGCCTGAGTGTTAACTGTCAAAAACCAAGGATACTTACTATACAAATCCTTGCAAAAACTAGGTCCATTTATCAGTAAAATACAAATTTTTTTGATACTGTCTTTTGTGGCTATGATAAGTGGAACATATCCGTGGTCATCTGTGACACTATTACATAAGCTAAAATGTCCCTTTGGTACCTTTCGCCTCTCTTGTAAAACTTTCGAAGGGATGACTTCAACTAAATCATTAGGAACCCATGTTAAAATCTGGGAATAGTATACTGACCAATATATTATGTCCCAGGTTCAAACCCTTGTAACCTGCAACCCTTTATCAAGAAGACGATTGTAAACGCAATCCCTGTTATATTGTATTACTTCTTTCTAGATGTTAATTAAGATATGAAGCAGACTTAACTGTAAATCTGTAGTATCATTTATTTCAAATCTAATGGGATATAAATGCAATCAACAGTCATCAAAGTTTGAACTTTTCATTGAGAGGACATCATCTTTACAGCAGAATGTAAAGTTAAAGGATAATGCTAATTCCTTTTCATTCTTCTTGATAACCTCCTGCATGGAGTTTGGAGCAACAAGTCTGCAAGAAGAGGAGCACAGTTGGTTCACATAGGAAAACCAACTGTCTGTTGAAAAAAAAACATGTCTACCAAACATAACAAATATGTTGTCAATAAAAAAATTAAGTATCTTGAAGATGTTGTAGTAACTTGTAGGCTCTTGTTTTCGATATCATAAACTAGTCAAAACATTTACTAAATTTTATCATCGGTGTAAGGACATCATTCGTAAATATAACTCAACATGCGTTCGGGTATTTCACATCCAATCTTTTATGGTAATATTCTTTACAAAGCACAAAAATGTCAGTATTCACCTCAAAAGCTAACAAAACCTTTAAACAGACTTATTAAGAAGGGATATAGTTACGATACTGTTGTCAGGTCATTAAAGATGGCATATTTTGGTATTGATATTGATTCACTTATAGGGTCTTTGCATCGGAATTAAACATATTTATTATAAAACCAGTTGTTGGCATGACACGGGTTATGTTCTTCTCAAATATTTTATGATGGTATAATACTAAACCCCTAACAGGAGGGATTGTGCCTGATATTCATATGATGAAGACATAATCTTTCAATCAGTTTAATTGAGGTCTGGAGCTGGCATGTCAGTAACTGCTAGTAGTCTGTTGTTATTTATGTATTATTGTCATTTTGTTTATTTTCTTTTGTTTCCTATTCTGACATCAGACTCGAACTTCTCTTAAACTGAGTTTTAGTTTGCGTACTGTTGTACGTTTGTTTTTTCTACATTGGCTAGAGGTATCGGGGGAGGGTTGAGATCTCAAAAAACATGTTTAACCCCGCCGCATTTTTTGCGCTTGTCCCAAGTCAGGAGCCTCTGGCCTTTGTTAGTCTTGAATCATTTTTAATTTTAGTTTCTTGTGTATAATTTGGAGTTTAGTATGACGTCCATTATCACTGAACTAGTATACATATTTGTTTAGGGGCCAGCTGAAGGACGCCTCCGGGTGCGGGAGTTTCTCGCTGCATTAAAGACCCATTGGTGGCCTTCGGCTGTTGTCTGCTCTATGGTCGGGTTGTTGTCTCTTTGACACATTCCCCATTTCCATTTTCAATTTTATCTGTTTTGATTGCTGATCACTGCAAATAGAAGTTAATAATTTGGAAAAAGGTTGTGTTGAGCATTTATGAGGACTAGCAATATTACATTGTTAGCTCACCGGGGCCCGAAGGACCCCATGTGAGCTTCTGCCATCACTTGACGTCCGTCGTCGTCCGTCGTCTGTCGTCGTCTGTCGGTTTTTGCACAATAAAAAAGAGGGGTAAAAAAAAAAAACATAATTCAAGGGCAATAACTTCTATGAAGAATGGACTGACAATTTCAGCAATGTTGACTCATTTGTCTATTCTGTCTTGCTCATCCTTATTTCTGAGTAAATCTATTATAGTTTTTGAATAAAATGCAAAGATTGGTAAAAAACATAATTAAAGATAATAACTTCTATAAGGTGTGGACTGACAATATCTGCCATGTTAATATGTTTGCTCATCATTTTTGCTATCTAGATTTTCTTTATCTTCTATATTTTTGGGAAAAAATGCAAAATTTGGTAAAAATCTTCATTTAGTGGCAATAACTCTTGTTAGTAGCAGAGTGATGATTTTAGCAATGCAGAAAAACCTATAGATCATTTTTTTGGTATATTAAAGTTTCTCTTCATCTATTATAGTTTTCAAGATAATGGGCAAAAATGCAAAAAATTGGTAAAAATGATTTGGGTCATGTTTGACTTATTTGTAGATCTTGTCTTGCTTATCATTTTTGTAATGTACAGTTTACCTCTATCTTTTATAGTTTTCATTTTGGTATCAATGGACAGTAGGTAAAACTCAACATTCTGAACATCCATGCCTCAGTCAGATTATCTCTTTCTATAGCAGTTTTCAAAATAATAAGACAAAACTTGCATTTTACACCTATGTTCTTTTTTAGCCATGTCAGCCATGTTTGTTGGTAGGTGGGATCATTTAACATATTTGATTTTAAACAAGATACCCCAGTGATGATGGGAGCCAAGTTTGGTTACAATTGGCCCAGTAGTTTCAGAGGAGCAGGATTTTGTAAAAGTTAATCTATGGAAAAGACAACGACCATGGATGAAAGAGGCCAAGTGATAAAAATAGCTCAATGTAGCCTTAAAGTTAAGCGAGATTTTAGACTGCAACCCAATATAACTGGTTAATCGGTTTAACTGTCTTAATCACAAAAAACAAATTATGGACTCTGCTCCCACTGGAAACAGCATGCCTAAGTCTCTCATCTGCAACTTTGTCTAGGAGACAGAAAAACTAACAGAGATGACTTGGGGGATAAGAGTTAAACACCCAATTGATTTCATGTTTATTAATCAATTAATTAAGCAAAATATAAAATATGTAAAAAAATAAAATCTATAAAATATGAAAAATGTATCTGTTATTATAACAATTTATAAAATAATATATATTTTCTAACAAGAAAGAGGGAGGTATCAACATCAACATCAACCAGACACAATAACTTAAATAAAATAAATATGTTTTATACAACTATCTCTTATTGCAGGAACAACCTAAAATTATAACTGGAATTTACATATTTCAAGGAGTAATCATTTCACCTTTGTGATGGATATAATCTTCTCCCAAATCTAAGATTTTAATTTTCAGATTTCATGACAACTACTGGAAGTTTAATGATGGTATAACTTTATAAAATTAAGATGGTGGGGTATGATTGAAAATGAGACAACTATCCACCAGAGTTCAAATGAAGTAGATGTAAGCAATTATAGGCATCCAAAGGGCCTTCAACAATGAGAAAAACCTATACCGTATAGTCTGCTATAAAAGGCCCCGACATGAAAAATATGAAACAATTCATTTAAGAAAACTAACAGCCTAATTTATAACAACACAATTTTTGAAAAACAAACATGAACCAACGACAACCACTGAACTACAGGACTGGGACATAAAGAATGTGGTGGGGTCAAACATGTTTGTGAGCACTCAACCCTCCCCTAACCTGGGACAGTGGTGAAACAGCACAACATAAAAACTATTTTAATAGTACAAATAATACATGCTGATAATCCTAATTCTATCTTTAAGGTCAGTGGTGACTCAGAATTTTTTTATTAAGAAAAAAAAGTTACGTTTGCCTTCAATACCAAGGGTCATCATACTGAGATATATACAGCTTCCACAATGACATAAAGGAGAAGTCAGACACCCTAGAGAGGACTTAACCTTCCTAAATAATATTATAGCTTCATAATAGGACTTTTCATGAATAAGTACCTATGCAAATAAAATGGGATATAAGGTCAATGGGGTCAATGAGACAACAATACAACAAGTAACTGCTTCTAAAATTGGTCTAAAAACAAATCAAATGATATATCTTTCTTAAAGATGTTTTGTGTTGATGGAAATCTTGTCCGAGTCAGCGGTTCTTATTGTGAAAGGGGTATCTAAATTTGTCTTTTAAAAACTGTACACATTTGTCTTACATTAAAAAACTTTAATCCAGGTTTTAATTGATGGAAAGATGTCATTTTACAATTTCAAAAATGGATCACCATAGGAACAATATATTAGCTACTTCAAGAATATTATTTACAAACAAAATTCGTATGATTATTGAGAAGTCTTTGGTTTTTCTAGAACTTAATTGCAAAAAAACAAATAAACATCTACCGCAAGTACTTTATCAACTTTGAAATATTTATGAATGAACCTATACATCTGTTTTCAGAATGATGATTTGATTTTTCTTACAAGCAGTAAGGTTAATAAAGGATATTTTATGAAGAATCATATACTGTGTATTCATAATTATTCATGAGGTATCTTTTTTTTTTGGCAGAGTTTTGAGGTATATAGATAAACCATGAATGCAAATATTCTATAACTTTGTAAACAGAAATTAAGTATCCACGTAAAATAATATATCCCAAATCCAGGTCAATTAGTACCCACAAATAATACATGAATCCACAGTACTTTGATAACTTCATTAAATCTTTCTACTACCAGAATTAACATCATCAGTCATTTTTTTTCTACTATTTCTATAAAACCTTTTTTTTAGAAATTATCGTACTTAGTGCCTGTCAATACTAGACAATACAGACACTTCTGTAAATTTTGTCATCATGAGAACATATGTCTGACCTTACAAAGAAGAAGTGATTGTTTTTTTAAGTCAATAGGGTGAAGTGTATCAAATCTCAATACAGTAGTTTCACAAATAGAAATAAGGATTTAAGCCTCATTTTGACACAGTGTGTAAAATACTACAACTAAACATATATAAAATGACAAACTTAAAAGGTGACTAGTAGCTACAGACATCAATATACATCAATATTTGAATTATTCAATAAAAGTATTAATTGTGCCATAAAACATGAACGACTGGCTGAAACTTTGTCTCCATAGGCAGCTATCAAAAATGTATCTTCACTGAAGATAAAATATTTACAACTGAAGGAAGCAATCCCCGTATTACAACACTACTGAAATGCCATATCATTATTCTAGGGAAAAATCTTAATTTGATCTAAATTCAGTGAATAGTGAATACTTTATTGAAGATCTCCTGGTATTTGGAGTCTACACTCAGGAATTAAATTTACAGGACGTCCATGCATTGTATGACAGCAAAATTTTTACCAATTACATCAAGTTTACTCACAAATATGAACTTAAATGCATAAATAATGTTTAAAATGGATGTAAAACAAAAGCATTTGAAAAACTGTAACAAATTCGAAAATTAATAAAAGTAAAAGCAATCACAATAAGGAATTTGAATACCAGTCTAAAATTCCAAAAATTAAAAACAAAAGCACAGAATATTTAATTTGATAAACATATATGAACCCCCTTCATCTACTTTCTCAAAAAAATTGCTGGATGGCCCCTTGTTATTAATTCCCTATAATCTTGTCACAAGGCAGTAGTTATAAGTAAATGAAAGACTATCATTCAGCACTAGGCTGTACAATCATCAATCGTCCAACTCTTCTGTTGCTACCATAGAACGTTTGATGTGCTGTGATGTGTCCCATCTGAAATACAAACAAGTTTGTGTTAACATTTTTAAAAGCACTGTTTCGTTATTTCTTAAAGTATATAAATATAATCAGGCATTTTTCGTTATGTGGCACTGAATACATGTATCAATAGAATCAGGCATTTTTTCGTTATTTGGCACTGAATATCAATAGAATCTGGCATTTTTTTATATATCTTTTGGAACACAAAGCTGACATCTTTAAAAATATGTAAATTTAAGTTTATTGAAGGATAATGTAAAAGTCAGTAATACAAGCTTTAGATAAAAACAGAACCTCTCGGAGCTATTCCTCGGTCATAGGCTTAATAATTCTATCTATTTTCTGACATAATACATACTGTGGATTTATTATTATTCGTGGGATACCAATTTTAGTAGTAAAGGTAATCCACGAATTGAAATGTTCAACGAATCACAAATTTTCTAAAATGTATGCAGACTTTGGCGAAACCACTAAATCAAATATCCACAAAAATGCAAGTTTTCCTCAATCCACAAAAATTGGTATCCTCGAAAATAAATAAATCCACAGTATCCATTCACTTATTTTGTTCTTTTTAGAACAAACAGTTGGACCTTTAATTAATCTAATCAAAATGTCTCACTACTAAATTTATGATTTTGTCAGCTTTCCTAACTTTAAATTCTTATACTGTGCTAATAAACAACAACTTATCATAGGTTTGGCATTCTATATGCTGTATAAAAATCATTGAACCAAAACTGCCTTGGCAAATAAGAAAATAATTATAATTTTATACTACAAAACCTAAGCATTAAGGGGAGATTCAATACAATGTATAGACTACTCAAGCTCTCCCAACTGTCTAGAAAAAAACTAATTTGGGATCAAATTTTACTACAAATTAGAAACAACTATTAAAGCAATACCTGGTTGTAAAAAAATAGATATTACAAGGTTATTAAAGCATTAACTTAATTATTATCTATAGTTAAAACAAAAAGCTGTGTATCTATAATTATAAATGTGCACATATGTTGATTCTGATTATCAATAAATACATATGTCAAACAAGTACTACAATAAGCCTTGAACTCTGCTGGTAACCTCCTTAAATTATAATTTGTGTGAAAATAATTTTTATATATATTTGTAAGGCTATATGTGTTTGCAGTTGTCCACCTCTGTATTAAGTGAGATCAAAATTTAAGATTATAATTCCTTTCAAGATAAGAAATGCATGCCTCCAATGCAGGACTGCAGTTGGATGAACATTAGTTTTTTTTTCTTTATCTAGATGAATAATATTTAATCAAAATTTGTAAAAGTTGCAAGGTTTTTTGGCTTGTATAATACAACCATGGACAACATAAAACCTTGGTTTTTAAAAATAAATAAAAAAGAACTAAAACCTATGCATTTCAATACTGCAGTGTTGGTATATCTTGTCTAGCCACACAACTAATTTTACTTAAATATCCCTAAAATTCTGCAGTGTTTTATTACCATAGCAATAAATTATATTTTCTATATATTACCTGTACATGTATGATTATTTTCTAAACAGAAAATACATATTCACAATAAAAATATGATTTTTTTGCTTATGAATATAAGTTTGCATAACATTCAGAAAACATCATTTAATCCATGTTCAAAGATACCGAAATGGTGCCTAAAATATAGGTGGTTGAAGAGTATATCAATAAAAACAATTGTTGCAGTTGACTCCTCAAATCTCCATTTCTTTACATGAAAGTCTATAGTAGCTGTGGAGAATGCTTTATTCTGTCCTTTTATGTCAACCAGTGCCTATCCTACCAAAGCTTAATCATTAAACACAGGAGTAGAATTTTAATCTTGTAGCTTAATTTTTGGTTTAGGAGATCTAGATATTTTTCTTTTTGCTAATTGTTTGTTTTCTTTTTAGTGTTTTACACCATTTTTGGTATATTTGGCAGCAAGATTTTGTCAGTGGGGGAAGCTAGAGTATCTGGCAAGGACCATCAACTTTTGACAAGAAAATTGGAAACCTTTGTCAATTAAGATTGATGTTGACCACACAATGCCACAAGCTGTTTGATCTCACAACCCTTAGAGTTGACAGCCAATCACTGTAGATGAACTTCTTATACCCTTGGCCACCAAAGTACCATTTGCAAATTGTAAAAATAAATTCCATAACATACATGAACAACAATTAAGGGATGGTAAATTAAACAAACTGTATATAAAAAATAATCTGACAAAACCAATATATGTTCACATACAAGTAAATAAAAATACTTATATTATAAGAAACTTAAATTTGTTGACAACAATTGCATCTGCTTACCAAACCATGTCATATCTAGCTAAAAATCATCTACAAATATTCAGTATTGCAGAAAATGACTTTAGTTAGTTTTGTAAAATACTTGGTTATGAAAGCAACTGACAGAGTTGTGTAACTTTCCTACCTTGACTTAGCTACCACTATCTCATATTTCATATAACAAATTATAACTTATACCTGTTTTTTGTGTTTCTCTCAAAATATCTTTAATGTATATCAATAAAAGGATAACGCATGTTAGAGGTAACATTAGCCCTAAAATCATCTGGTCTTCAACATTTCTTTAATTCTAAGAATTATATTGAATATTGAATATATATTGAATCTGCACACTTTAATAAAATATTATTAATTTTGTTAAAAGTATGTCCATTTCATTTGTTGTTTTCCAAATTATGGTAAAATGGCTAAATTGCAGAAAAATTATATTGATCACAACCCTTGCTCAAAGAGATATATACATAAGAAGTGTATTTTTGAATTATTTATTTGCTGGCAAAAAAGCCAATTTCAGTGTGTAAAAAAATATCTTATATTTTGAAGATCATGTGCTCACTCTTGGATGTCATTTATGTCTTTGTGTCGTTGGGTTGCTGTACTTTTGATGTGTGCCCCACCTCTCCTTTTATTTACATATATTTAGAATGCTTTGATAGTATGTGTTCTTCTCATCAACTTGCCAATGTGTCTATAAAGTATTTTGTCAAAGCCCAAACAAATTAGGTATGAAACAATTTTTTTTGTAAAAATTTGTCATTAAAATTTCTAATTGTATAACCTTAAATCAAAAAAGAAACTAAGAAGAAATAAAAACTGTAATTATGTAATTATTGCAATTTTTTGAATTTTCACAAACTTGAAAATAATTTTATTTTCGTGCAAGTGACAGGTGTATTGGGAGGTACTTAAATAATAAATGGATGGATAGTCTAAGTATTTAAGTATTATGAATAATTTTTTAATTTTTATATTGTGCGTGGTTTAGGTTTAAATAAATGGAGAATGTGTCCATAGGACACAGATGATGCCCCCGCTTGCATATAACGTTATAAAGGGGCATTACTCGAAAACGATAAAAGTGACGCCACCCAAATTTGAACTTGATCTGAGCTTTGTTGTAATAAGAATTGTGTAGTATATAAGTTTCATAACATTTAGTTGAGGCAAACTAAAGTTAGAGAACGGAAATGAGATTTTTTTCCATATATAAAGGTACATAACTTCAGAACAGTAAATGTGACACCACCCAAATTCCAACTTGATCTGTGTTTTGTAATAATTAGCATTGTGTACAAGTTTCATAATATTTTGGTTGAGGACAACTAAAGTTAGAGAATGTAAACCAATTTGGGGATGTACGTACAGACGTACGTACGTATGGATGGACAGACAGACTGACAGACAAGGGTAACACTTAATGCCCCCTATGCTACGGTGGGGGCATAAAAAGTGCCTCCTAATTTAACACCCCAAACTAAATTATTGATCAGGCCAAAGTGAAGTTAGAAAAGAATTATCTGAAATCATTAAAAGAGTTACTCTACTTAAAATAAAAGGAATAAATTATTTTTTTAATAATTTTACCTATCACCAAAATTAAAAATATAATAAAAATAAGTCTAATCCATACAAACCTGAAACACTATTTTAAAGAAGACATGCAGTAAACAATCTCATTGTAAACAAGGTAAAGATCACAAGAGAACAAAAGTTATCTACACCATTTTTTTACTGAAGAGATCATTTTCTTAATACAATTTTTTTTTTGTCGATTGGCATATTGTTTCACATAATTTCATGACTGTCAATTTAATTGGTAAATTAATTTGAAGACCTTCATCGAGTCATCGACAAACTCATATATCTACATAGACATCTTACACATGGTTATGGCCATTGTTTACAGACTATTTTTTAAAATGGCTTATGATGAACAATGGGAGACGGACGATGACAATAGCTCAAAAAGGCTGCAGGTGAGCAAAACTTTTCAATAAATCATCAGGTTATAACCAAATGACACCCTAAATTTAATATAAATTTTCAAAGTCAATCAGTGTAGATTTAAAGATAGACGACTACATGTAGTTACAAAGACCATTCTGTAAAAAAAAAAGAAAAAGAGAATCAATTAGCTTATAAATTATTCCATTGCCTTATGTTGAGCTTATTTGCAGCTTAGGAAGATCTTTGTTTATGTAATGGATGTCTATGTTTGCCCTGTAACTTTTGTTTTATGTTTTATACCGTGATGTATTTTATTCTTCATACTTTCAGCATACTTTCTGACAAAAATTATCTTTTCCTTCCTTCATTACTTCATATCTATCCTATACCAGTTTCATATGTTCCAGTGCTAATTTAAGTAGTTACTATGGAAACTAAGTCCATTTACTTACTTCTTTCCTTCCTTCTTTGTTCGTTTCTTGGCTTCTGGACGTTTCAATTTAAGCAACAAGAAAGCAGGATCTAATGTTCTTCCAAGGAATGGTGGATTTGTAACATCATGAACCATCAACACATACTCTCCTGAAAAGACATTATGTATGGGAGGTAACTCTAAATTATAAAAATCAATATTACAAAAAAGCCTGTTCAAGTGTTCTTCAAAGAAAAAGGTAATTGTTATGTCATGAATTATGGATACATACATAACTGTATCCATTGGGCCCCCTCTGAAAACAAAAACACCAATAAAGATTATTAAAGTTGAGTTTAAGATTCAAATTTGACTTTTAAAGTCAGAGTGTCATAATCCCAATTTACTCCCCTCAGAGACATTATTATGCATGGGAGATAAGTCATTGGAAAAGTTCTATCTCTGTAATGTAAATGTTTGTTATATCACATTTTTGCCTAAAATGCAAAGCTTGTCATACATGAGAAATGACTCATTGTCAAACAAAATGTTTTATGGAAAATGAAATGAGAAATGTTAAGACTTTTATTTTTTACAAAGGCCAGTTAGTAGGATCCTGAATGCAATTTTGATATTTATTTGAATCTTTTTCAAAATCAAAATTATTTCCTTCAGAAACACATTATATTTTTTTCAAAATACAGGTTTTTAAGTGCTTTCATGTGAAATCAAAGCCCTTACAGTAATACTAACATTCATATCAGCAGCTAATTCTCTAATCACTGATACACTTAATATTTTTAAGTAATCATGCATTCTTAAGCATGTGAGTTCATTAATTTTACATTAATTTTTATTCAAATACATGTATTGTAAGATATTCTTTCATTTACCTATACTGAGATCCCTTTTTTTATCAGTTTGCCTCACCAAAGTTTAGGGTTACTATTAGAGTAACCTAATATCTGTCCCTAAATAGTTTTCAGAAAATAATGATATATATATACAATCAAATAAAATTGTATTCAGATACATCTTGGAAGGGTTGTCCCAGTATCATAAGTTTAAGGTTGTATCACTTTTTTTGCATGGTTTAGAAATTTTAATTTAAACTTTTAAGTTTTATGTTAGAGTAAAGTCATCATAAACCCCAATATTCATACAATTGCTTGTAAGGATGCATCTAGGGAAGTATGACAGCCTTACACAAAAAGTAGGTCTCTCTGACCTATATTTTATGATTTATTGACTTATATAAGTCTGGGTTTAGTTCTCAGATACTAAGTGACCTATGATCATAGTGTGATGAAAATTTTAGTCTAGGCGAGTTCAGCAGACTCAATAGCATCCCACAAAGTGAGGGTCATTCCGATCTCTATTTTTTTTACACTTCATTGACTTGATGTAAGGATGTGTCTAGGAGAGTATGGAGTTGCCTTCAACATAAAGTAGGTCACTCTGACCTACATTTTAGGCTTCAATAATTTGTATTGTTTTATGTATGAGTTCAAATCTCTGCTACTTAGAGACCTACAATCATATATAAATTAGTGTTAGGATGCAACTAGGAGAATATAGCAGCATCCAATAAAATGTAGTCAGACATATGTTTTATAGTATGTGGCTTCTATCAAGTTTAACATCCAAGTTAAGATTTCACATAGGACCTACAATTATAATTCTTATAAAATTTGTCCAAGCAAATACGGGAATGAGGTGAACTTTGTAATCTATTTTCTCATTCTGTGAAAACAACAAACCTGTCTTTGCATATTTCTCTTCTAAAGCTTTTTCCTTCTGTCTTCTCATTTTATCCACTGAAATAAATAAATCAGACCATATAAATACTAAAATCGTTTTTATGCAATCCCTTGGCATTTATTTTTTTAAAAGAATATATCTTTTATAATCATTTTAACTTAAATTAATGATTTTTTTTTCTTCAACTGATTGAAATTAAACAGAAAATTTAAAAAGTACTAATTGTACTTAAATGAGGAAATTAATATTGATTTCCGTCCAGTGCTAAATGTCCCCTTGTGTCTTGTCACCACCACTATCAAATTAATACATGTGTTAAAGCATAACTATTTGAGTGACAACTTCGAAAACTTTTAAGTTTTCTCTTTGTTGGGTGACTTATGAATTCTTTTTAATATATTGTATATATACATTTAATAACAAACTGGTCCAACATCATCAGTAATTTTTTTTTTGCTTTTCAATAATTTGATTGGCTACCAGTACCGTCAAATCCATTTTTCAAACTAAAATTAGCATCGATTTCAAATAAAATATTTTCTTAACCCTTACTTGATCGAAATGTTTACCATTCATTATCATTTAGAATAACCAGTTAGTACCCTATAAAACACATTTTAGTGAGATATTCAGGACAAGGAAATAAACGACAGGTTATGGTGATTCAAAGTTCCAACAATAAAACTGTAGTGAAATAACAACAAATCAAGGTTATACTACAAATTGACAGAACATCCTTTACTCCTTATACTATTTTACAATGAAATATAAAACTTCTATAGAATAAACACAAATAACAAAACTGTTCAAACAACTGTTTTACTTTCATCAGTCGATGACATCAGTAATATAACAAATTGTCTTTATTGTCCTCAGTTGTACAAATTCTATTTCTACTGCAAAATTCCTTTTTATATCAATTGCATATACATGTATATAATAAATAACATATCATATTTATCTCTAAAGGTTAAGTAAAGTTTTAATAATCAATAAATGATAAATAAAGTGAAAAATTAAATGAATGTAAATTGTCTGGCCACTAAATAACTGGGTTGTTAAAAAAAATCATGATTGGTAGTGTAAAAAAGTGCAGGGCATAACATTACAATCTGTTTGCATCTGTGAAAACAAATCTGGAATTCAGTTAAAATACAATTGACATTAGGGGCATATTGTCTGATTTCTCTTTCCTCTTTTTATTTAGTGAAAGCTATCTTTCCTTTGTGAAGGCATTCTCTGTTTTCTTCTTAATAGACAAATTTCTATGTTACCGCATATAAATAAATCATTTTATCCTCTGTACAAAAATTAATCAAAGCTACAGTAATGACAGGACAATACAATTTCCCCACTGAGCTATCTATCACCAAGAAAGATAACTCTCATAAAAATGGAGGAAAAAAAAACAAGGAATTAAATCCATTAGATGATACAGAATATAAGACCACATATTGGTTTCTAAAGTCAATCTACATGCATCCTAGTCTTACAGATTGAAGGAATCTTTGCTGCTGCAACTACTTTATGTAATCCTGTGAGAAAATAATAATAAGTCTGTATTTGTCAATAGATATCATTCCCAATATCAGACAAACAAAGGATTATGGGTAATCTTTTCAAAAGCATTGGCATTTAAACCTTGCAACAAATGGTGTCACATTATGTGTATTTAATTTGGTTTATAAACAATTGGATTACCCATGGTCCTTTAGATGCCAAAATGGCAAATTAATATTAATGAATCATGTTAGCATAAAAATCATGGTATTAAAGGCTGGTTGTGTCGTGGTCTGAAATAACAGAATCTTACAAATAGAATTGGATTTTGCAGCAACATACTGTTTTCCTGTATGGATAATAAAAAACATTTTAATTAGTTTACACATATTATGAGAATAATAACCAATTTCATTATGACGTATACCAAATTTGAGTTTACCTGCTGAGGACAATAATAATAACATTTTTCCAGTATTTTTTCAGCATCACAAGAGAAACATTTGACAACTATCACCAAAAGTGATTGCTTCAACATTCTCTCTAAAACAGACATTAAAGAAATAACGTTCAGACTTCATCTAACTTTGTGTTTAATTTACAATAACAAAGTAATTCATAGATTTTGTGTAGTAAAATATAGCATAAATAATCACCATTGCAGCATCTACATGGGAATATATTTCTGCTGAAAATTGAATGACTTTGTTGGAATAATTAGACATGACAAAGCTTAATGCTGTCTTTTCCCCCCAAAGTCTATAATTATTAATAGCATTAATTTTTATTTGACCACCTTCTTTTCAAAATTTTTGGAGGGGGGACAAACAAATATTTCATAAGTGAATATTTTTTCAACTTGAGGACAGCTTCAAAGATTATTCAGTGCCCATAATCATTTATACCTCATACCTTTATTTGAATATGTGGTGTACCTAATCAACATGTGTTAACTTTTGAAAACAAATAAATACAACAAATAACAGTAATAAAATAACTTTGCTACAATCACCAAAACAAAATAACAAAGGTGACAGTGACATTCTCATTTCCAGTACAGAATATATATGTGGTTTTTACCCTGGTTGATACTGCATGTATTATATCTGACGGTACCTGAAATAAGATTTACTTATAATCAACATTTCCCTTTATCCATTTTTAGTATTCAAATATAAGAGTACTAACAGTAAATATTCTAATAGTTTTTTAATGGAAATATATCTCATATGGTATTAATTAATATTATCAGCAGAGAGATCCCATAAGAAAAAGATTGTGATGCTTTTCTATCTTCCCCTCAGGTTTAATTTTATTCATATATAATGGTTTATACAGAAATATTTGATTTGAATGAGATGTATACATAAACAAAATGATTATGAGGGAAAACAGTCATTTTGATCTTAAAAGACTAAACACTAAATTATTACTTCCTTTCAATCATTGATTCCTTCAGACATTTCTACAACTATTTAGAAACTTTGCATGCAGTAAACATAAGACATTTCAAAGTGTTTTGATAGAGTGTCACAATGAATTCAATGTTTCAGTCTAATGCATTCTGGGAATTCTTTTTCAAAACCATACACAAGAACATTGTGATTGGTTAACAAAGTCCAAAACAATGGATATCCAACCAATGGCATGACATTATTTCATTTTGGTGTATGAAAATGATATTGCCTATAAACCTTTAGATTTTGAAATAATGAATTGCATGAAAAGTAACTGAACAGAACGAGACATACTGCAAGAACAAAACTTAAACCCTACTGAATTTAAGTCTTGATGATTATCTTTACAAAGCTTAAAATTTAAATAAGGCTTGATTTCAGATCATGTTCAAATCAAAATGACTATCTCAAATGTTATTAATTTAACTTGTGATATTCTATATGCAAAACATTTACCCATGGAAAATCGTCTTTGTGATAAATCTGAAAATATTGTATATCTTAACTAACATAATAACAATATGCCTTTATTAATTTGGTTTCTCCATATAACAGACATTTAGCAATCATACAAAATTGCTGATTCAAAGATATATATTAGCCTACCAAAAAAAAACCAGCAATAAGTGTGTTTTACATAACAAACATAAATATGATCTGTATGCCCTATATGGTATCTTATAATCGTTAACAGCATGTCAACTGATCTTAAACAATGCAATGTTTTCCTCAGGGCCTTTAGGCATCATGTTAATGTGATGCTAGAATATTGGGGTTTTTTTTCTCTCATAAACCTTTTTAATTTTATTTTTTAATCATCATAAATATTTTTTTGATAATCTAAATCATTTACTAATACAATTATTTAGAAGCTGCAAACCAAATAAACATGAAAAAAACCTCACATCCATTTCAGCTGTATTTATACCAGCCAGTTAAGAATAAATTTTACTGGTCATGACTGAAAAATAGACCATTTTGGAAGCCATGTCAGGATGCTTTATATAATTTAAGGGCAGAACACTGCAATGATTCTATTCCAAAATTTAATAGTCCTCAGGAATACATGTCATCTTACAAATATATATATGAAGAGAAAGTTCAGCTTTATCAGCCAATATTTGTTCATTTAAAAAATAACCTATTGAAAATATTTTTGTGATTAAAAACTTTAAAAAGCATGATGCATATTTGAATTCCCTTTATACCAAAAACAATCACTAACAAATAATTATTTTGTATTTCTTTTGAACAAATTTTGTGGATTGTGCAGGGGATACTAAATTTGCAAATTAAATATCATTGGATTAAAAAGTCTTTAGCTGAAGTGCTTGAAAAAAAGAGTAAAAATAGACAAAATCTAAATCCACAAAGTTTGTTTTTAGCAGAAAATTGAACATGGTCCCAATAATGTTTGTAACGCCTAGATATTTACCCTTATAAACCGATCCTCTTCTGTCAATATTACCTGAAAATTTTGTAGGAAAACATATTTAGAGGGTATTTGACAGTATGAAAGATGAATATAGACCTTCGTTATTTGGAAATCATCATGAAAGATTAATACAGAAAAAAAAGATCAAATAAAATGCCACAGACTTTTTTTTTCAGGCTTATTATAATTAAAAAAAACAGACATATAAATAAGCAAAATACAAAGTTTTAACTTCTGTAGCTGACCGAAAACATTCTTAGCACATTTCATATATACAATTTACTAATCATTTTACACATGTAAATTACCTAAAATAAAACTGTTCTAAAAGACAAAGTTATTCCTGAATGAAAAATGTGTTACATGTACAGGATTAGGACTGGGTTTAGTTTAGTTTAACAATATTTTATTTAATGAGAGAGAGAGAGAGCATGTTATATAAATGGAATCAAGAGCATGCAGAAACATGGTCTGAACAAGTTTGTTGTCATTTTCAAAAACATTGTAGTTATTTAAACAAAATAAGAACTGGAAATAAATTTCAACTTAATGAAAGATATAGAGTCAGAGCAAGGTAACAGGTAGTAATAAAGCAAAAATGAACAGGATACCAGTATACCAAATAGAATACATGCATATCAATAAAAACTTTAATTTTGTTAGTTTTATATCTATTTAAATGGAGGGGAAAGGTATTATTTCCAGGTAGGACTTGAATACTGCGTAATTTTACCAGGATCATGAATCGTCTGCCTTCTCTGATCTGGAACTTTTTGAAAAAAATAAATATCAATCATTTTGTATCTCTTCAATAGTAACCTTAATATTTTAAGGTTTATTAGCATTTTATTACAGTAAGAATTAAGAATTTTATATTTTGTTTCATGGGATTTCCAAACTATAACACCCTATTGAAATTCCTCTTCCTTTATGCTAAAGTATTTCAGTAACTGGGGATACATTATTATTCATGGGATACCATTTGTTGTTGGTTTGTATACATAATTTGGCAAAACCGCAAACTACAATATTCATGAAATTATAATTTCTCCTCAATCCACGACAATTAGTACCCACAAAAATAAATGAAACAAAAGTACCTTTTCTTACACACATTAAAGCTAGAAAAAAGATCAAATTCTATTAAAATATGATTCTATTTGTCTCATTTTAATATTGATCGACATTTAACGCCACTTTCAGCACTATTGTACTATTTCATGGCATATATATATATATAACTACTCTAAATATCAGCACAACAATGTTAAATCTGCAAATTTGCGGAAGCAAATTTTTTATCTTCTCTCGCCGGGATTCGAACTCGTGCTATTGGGATATCGAGACACTGCCTGCACTGTGTCAATCACTCTATACCACTCGTCCACCTAGACTGAACTAAAAATTCAGCTTTCGGTGGCCTAGTGTTACCTTTCCTCGTCAGTAGAATCTAGAGTTGTAACACAGTACATGATATATTAAGCATGAAGATGGAATTTATTGCAGATTAGCTACTGTAAATTCAGAAATTATTGCGATGTTTTTATTATTGCGAAAAATGCGACAGGGTTATAATCGCAATAATATAAACTCGCATTTTGAAATATTTTATATCAATTAAACAGGATTTTTCTCAATATCGCAAAAAATAGAATTGCATTTTAGTCTAAAATGACAAAATCGCAATAATAAATGCACGCAATAATTTCTGAATTTACAGTACATATCTATCGTAAAGGATCTAGATACAGTCAAAGAAATAATTATTTTGATAAGTACGTCTAAACAATAAACAACTCTACTACAGATCCATGCATCGGATCACAAGTGAAGGTGATACACGGCTGAAAACACATTTTATATTAATCTTCATGATTTATATATTGAGTATATATAGCATGAGTTGGAATCCCGGGGAGGGAAGAACAAAAATTTGCTACCGCAAATTTGCAGATTTAACATTGTTGTGCTGATATTAAGAGTAGTTATGAATATAACATGTGTTTTCAGCCGTATATCACCTTCACGGTTGATCCAATGGATGGATCTGTCGTAGAGCTGTCACTTGTTTAGACGTATATATATATATATATATATTGAGGTATATTATATGGCCTTCAAAATACTGTTTCGATTCCTTACATCACTGAAGAGACATTAATTGTCGAAATCTGGATATGGTGTACAAATTTTTGCACCTCGTGTTTGCAGTATACCATCTTTTTCACAAGTTTATTGTTTTCTGTTTGGTATTAAATTAATAATAAAGATCCATTTTGTTACATCTTGTGATCCGTTTATTTGGCAATCGCCAATGGCAGTCAGCAGGGTTTCAGAAAATCCGTTGTTCGACCTGTTAGTCAAATGCGTTTTGTTTAAATATACTTTTGCACTTTTTTGGTCTTTTGGAAAATGTTGTTTGTGCTGTATTTAGACCCCTCTACCAAGAAATTTGTTTTGCATGCACACGTATAAAAATTGCGGTTTTCATCAAACGCAAACATAGGTTTGAATGTTGTTTTCAATTTAGACTTATTAATAATATATATATATATTGCGATTGCCAAATAAATGGATCACAAGATGTAACAAAATGGATCTTTATTTGTAATTTAATACCAAACAGAAAACAATAAACCTGCGGAAAAGATGGTATTACGTAAACATGAGGTGCAAAAATTTGTACATCATATCCGGATTTTGACAATTAATGTCTCTTCAGTGATGTTAGGAATCGAAACGGTATTTGGAAGGCCATATAATTTACCTCAATTTAGGGTAGACTTTTGAATTTTGAAGAGTCGAAATAGGATGAACGGATCATATAAACCCGAAGGCAAATATAATACAAGCCCAAACGAAAGAATATAAATAAGTCTAAATTGAAAACAACGTTCAAACCTATGATTGCGTTGGATAAAAACAGCAATTTTTATATGTGTGCATGCAAAAAAAATTTCTTGGTAGAGGGGTCTAAATACAGAACAAACAACATTTTCCAAAAGACCAAAAAAGTGAAAAAGTATATTTAAACAAAACGCATTTGACAAACAGGTCGAACAACAAATGTTCTTAAACCCTGCTGACTGCCATTGGCAATTGCCAAATAAACGGATCACAAGATGTAACAAAATGGATCTTTATTTTTAATTTAATACCAAACAGAAAACAATAAACTTGCGGAAAAGATGGTATTACGCAAACATGAGGTGCAAAAATTTGTACACCATATATAATATATGCATAGTAAAATCATGATACTATATTATATAAGGACATGGAAAATAACCAGAAGCATTCATTACAATGAAACCTACATTTAAATGCTGCTTTTTTCTATAAAAGACATATCACCACCTGATCAGAAACCAATTATTATATCTCAAAAACTAATACATCAAATCTCTCATGACAGTTTACACTGTATTTCATATTTCTTCTCTAATAAAATATATCTCCCACCATTATAATTACTGTTTGATGCAACAATATAAATAACTGTGATAGAAAACCATTATAACATGCTTGTTTGACTGTAACATTAATTTTGTAACTAGTGCTAATATCAAGGGAGACAATTATGTGAACAGAGACATAGCATTAGATCTATAGCAAAATGAAAAAAAATGTTATGACACATTTGAAGTAGAATTTGTATCTTGTATTTGAATTTACTTGTTCATAGATATAGGAAGATGTGGTATGAGTGCCAATGAGACAACTCTCCATCCAAGTTACAATTTATAAAAGTAAACCATTATAGGTCAAGGTACGGCATATGTCACAAAAGATAATAATTTTACAGCTAAAAGCACATTGTTTGCTATGCCTCTGTGCTGTTTCATTAAACATAACCTTTAACAACTTAACAAATTAGTGAAATTACACTTGGGAACATTTTGAAGAACAAATTTTAGTTCCCAAATATCAATTTTAATGATTTGATAACCATATTTGGAACTCTATTTATCAATTACTGGTAATAAATATGAAATCTAAAATGATGTACGATACTCAGTACATTGCACACATATTATATGGCTGTTGGAATCTGCTAAAATAAGCCACTTTACAGAAGATGAAATGAACTAAATTATCTGAAGTTAGAATATCAATGGTGATCAAATCATAAAACATCATACTGTCAAATCAATGGTTTCAACTTTATTAAAAAAAAAATCATGTAACTCAAAGATCATGAAAAATTGTCAGATCAAACATTTTGTTCTTTCTGGAATATTAAATGGAAAAGTACACACTACATAAAGTGCATTTCAAAAGGTAAATGTGTGATTGCTTTTACTGCTTGTTTGTATGAGTGGACATACAGACAAATAAAACTAGGATCACAAATTCACAATGATGGGAAACATACCAATGGATGATCGTCTATCATCTGAAAATATTAAAACTTTTTATAAAATGTTGCTGACTTATATCTAGATCTCAGTCTAGATGGACATTAAAATTATTGTTACATTAAAAATGAAACAATAAAAAATGATCTGGTTGTATGTTACATTTCTGTCTACAATATCATGAATATGGAATTTAAAAGCCTACAAAATACAAAAGAACCATGCATGTCAACAAATGTAACAGCAATCTTTGTAAGTCTCCAATCCACAGCATTTCTATCTTTATCTTTTTGTCACTTGATCTTTTTCACTTTCTGTTCCTCTAAAGACCATCAAAACTGTACATACATTATCATTTATTGCTTGCTTAGCTCCTTTTGATGAAAATTTCAACATAAATAGATACATGGGTATGATATTATAATTTCAAACAGATTAACACTAATTATGATTCATAAACTGTAATGAAGAATGTAATACCTTTGTTGATAGCTGGTTTCCCTTTTGATGTAGATTTCTTGTCATTCTCTGCTTCTTCCATGGCAACAAACGGTCGGTACATAGGTGGCGCTGGTGCAAGATAAACCTCATTCCACACACAGATACCCTCCTCTGATCGGCAATTAGGTACTGGAGGAGGAAGTGGAATTGATTCTTTTTCTATAAATAGAGGACGTGACTAAAAATACTCCTTTAATCATAAATTTAATAAATAGAAAAAATTATCAGTGTTTAACAATATACGATGTACAGGAAGAGAAAGACAATCTGAAGAGTGGAAATACCTGCATAATTGAATGATGGATTGTTGCACTCAATATTTCTATAATATGTTTCTTAGGAAACAATATTCGCTTTTTTTTTAAATTTGAACCAAGGAAATTTTTTCACCAAGATGCTTCCCAAATAACATTCTATGATCTTCTATCCATTGACATCTGCATGACGTTCTTATTTTCAAATTTGAGGGAAAAAATCTTCTCTTTATAAGGTGTTATGCCCTGTGATTTGGCAGTTCATTCTGTTACTATAGTTTTAATTAGAATAAATTACACAGTATATTCGTTCCTAACTTCATTCATGCTGATGTCGGTTGATGTCCTTTGATTTATATTTTACAGAAAGAATGGGTTACCTGTCCTTATATTATTAAATAACTTTGTTATATCTATGTATCAACTACTAACAGATATGTTTTATCAAACTTATGCAGCAAGCTGTATTTTATATATATTTCATGTTTTGATGAACTACTGTATTTGTTATATTGATATAATAACTCAAAGGAGTACAATTCAATACATGTATATGACTTTTCATTTTGATTTTGATTATTATTTCCTTTACCAGAGAACCACATAAGTAACACTCGGAAAGCTAAGTAAAAAACCATGGATAATACAGGGATTTTCTACTCCTCCTCCACTGGTGTCTACATTTTTTACCTATATAGTATTACTCGGCTTTTTCTCCCCTTCTAATGCCGTTCTCTATACTTGTATTACTAGTATTTAGCTCTCCCTCCATAGTTGTCTAAACTAAATACCTATAGTTGTATTACTAGCATGACACCCTCCTCCACTCCTCTGTCTATTGTCTACACTCTTACCTAAAGTTGTATCATTAGGATTTTCATCGACCTCCTCTACCCCTCCCCCACTGGTATCTACACCATCATCTTTTTCTTCATCCTGTTTCTCATTCTCTGTAAATTTTTCTCCATCTTCACCCTCTTTTGTCTCATCTTCTTTATTGTTCTGATTTTCATCCTCATCTTCTGTTAAAAAAGAATATTACTCATGACACAAAATGAATTAAAGACATATAATTGGGTATTCATTTTTTCCAATTATGAAGGACTTAGACTCAATAAACTTTTCATGTGTTTTTAATGATATTGAATAATACAATATTAAATGTCAAACCACTAAAAATCCTAAATTATAAGACAAAATAAAGATTTTAGGCTATTTAATCAGGATGCTTCAAGAGAACATTTTACTTATCATAAATCATTTCAAATAATTTTACTGGTTTAAAATCCAAATACATGAAACAAATTTCAATAATAACAAACATCTAACAAAGACATATTCCAAAATGTTGATGAATAAGTTGTAGATTCATCCTCTCCACTAAAAAAAAATCCAAACTTATAATTGAATGTAAATGTTACTCATATGAACAGTCTGAAATGATGATCTAAATATCTGAAAATAAATAAATCCACAGTTAACACAAGAGAAATAGATCAATAGAAATCTGTTGTTGGGTTGATGTCTACTAATAATAGCATATATTTTTTATTCATATAAATAAATGACAAACCTTTTAGATCTAGTTGTGTTTGAGATTGTGACAATTCCTGTTCTTCATCTTTATCATCCTCTTCTGAATGTCCATCTTGTTCCTGTTCCTGATTGGTCAGTGGATAATGTACTACTTGATAACCACTGTACAAGTTTAAATTTAATAATTAGTTTAAAAAACTATATTTTCAAGAATTCATATACAATGTATTCAACTATTGGCTAACTTCTTGTAACGATCTACATTACTTGTGTTATAGGCTATTAAATATATACATTCCTCATGTGCCTGTCCCTAGTAAGGAACCTGTAATTCAGTGGTTGTCATTTGTTGCTGTATATCATATTTGTTTTTCATTTATTATTTTGTACATAAATCAGGCGGTTAGTTTTCTCATTTAAATTGTTTTACATTTTTCATCTTGGAACCTCTTAGTCTTATAGCTTGCTGTGCAGTAAGGGTTTTGCTCTTTTACTTCTACATCATTTGGTCTCTGGTGAAGAGTTGTCTTATTGGGAGTCATACCACATCTTATTTTCATACTGTCTAGAAACTTCTGGAGATACTAATTAACTAGGTACATGTGTACTTGCATGAGCTAAACACAAAAATAAAGTATCCACAAAAAAACTATGTTGGTATCCAGTAACTTACAATGGTGTATCTATTGGTTTGTCTTCAACATCTTCTATCATATCAAACAGAGCAGAACCTTTAGATGGTTGGTAATATTTAAATCCTGCTGTTATCTGTATCTCTCTCCCATCATCTGTAAATAAAACAGGTCAAAGGTAAAAATTCATATGATATTTATTCTTATATCTATATTTCTGATGCCATGTTTTCCACCATTTTCATTGGAAGGTGTCAGTACAAAGTAAAACATCAGATTTTTTAAACTGAATGTCTTCAAAAGCAGCCTGTATGTAAGGACAAAGATACTTTTTGTAGTATACTTTGAGGTTAAATCCTTTCTTACTTCTTTATCTATGTGACAGCATATGAAAAGCCTGATTTGACTGAAAATATATCTGTTTTCTTGACAGAAAGTTTGCAATGTAGAAATACATATTTTACTTTTGTGTGGTAAATTTTTGATGTTCATGCTCAATATTTCCAACAGCCATTATCATATCATATTTTTGTGCAATAAATAAATCCTGTGAAATCTGTTTTAAATACACAATGAGTTAACTAAAATAAGTGAAGAATGTGTTTGAGGACATGATTGCACCGAGCTTTGCAATTTTCTAAGTTAAAAAGGGGCATAACTCAAAAACAATAAATAACTCAAAACCCAAATTCAAACTCTGTCTGCATTCTTAGCATTGTGTATGAGTTTCATAAAATTTGGATGAGACAAACTTAAGATAAGGAGCAGAAACGAAAAATATCTAATTTTTCCAAGTTATAAAGTGGCATAACTCTAGAACGGTAAGTGACTCACTGCCCAAATCGATCTCTAGCATGCCAGTTTTGGTTTTTAGCATTGTGCATGAGTTTCATTAAATTTGCATGAGGCAAACTTCAGTTAGAGTGCGGAAACAAAAATGGGACAGACGTACAGAAAGATTGATGGAAGGACGGTCAAGGGTAACACTTAATGCCTCCCTTGACTACGGCAGGGGCATAAAAAAATATTTTCTTGAAAGTTTGCTATGTAGAAATAAATATTTTCATGGGATAACTTTTTGTTGAATTTGATATGGTTTGAGATGTTATTTCCTTTAGAATTGTATTGTGTTTGATATTAACACCTACCTCCAACTACTTCATTTTCTTCATTCAAACATTGTACTGTAATTGTAAAAGGTGTTCCCTGTCGAATGATCATTGGTGTGTTCTCTACAACAATGTGAAGTTTACTGGCCATCTTAGCTGGGAAACCCTTCAGCCACATGCCATCATATATAACACCAGATATATGTCTGTATAAACCGTGACCATGAAATTCATCATTGTCAAAGTTTCCCTGTAAACAAGGAATTTTTTGGTCACAATTTTACTATTGCTCACAATATGATATATTGTACAAAGAGAATCATAATGACTACTGTAATAGGAATGAATCAAACTATTTCATGAATCTCATTTTTCAGGCTAATATGGACAGAAATGTGAGAAAAAATCACATTCATAGTATATGTTGAAGATTTTCTTGATTATTTGTGACATTGTATTGCTGTCTCATTGATGTTTACCCAAAATCTCTTTTTATTCATATCATACCATTAATATTTTCCTATTTTGGTAACATTACCATATTCATTTTCAAACAAGATTTTTCTTTAAAAACAGTATGTTTTTTAATTTTTAAGATGGCAACTGCTGTCAGCAAAAACAGAGCTGATTTCATAACACAAGTGTAAATTATCATTATATATATTGAAAGAAGTTGAAACCTTTTTTTTACAAAACAACCTTTCATGATGTGAACCATGTTCTAAATACATCATTTATATACAATATGTTCCCTTTTTAACTTCTACATGAAATTGAATAAATGCATAAATGCATTGCAGTGTCTTTTTTTTCATGTTTTTGTTGTGTTTCGGGTTGCTGTTTCACTGATAATACCCCATCTTCTTTTCTTCATACTGCTTGATTATTGGTTATACTGATAACATATTACAATTAAACTTACACCATGATGTGATTAAATGTAATTGGATATCCTGCATTTATCATACTTTACCATGAAATATTGTGAAATTGCTGAAAAGATCCTCCTTCTAAATTATTGAAAGCTATCATTTTGCATTAACTATAATATCAAGGTGTAAATTAACTACATCCGATTGAGAAAACTTCTTCATGAGTGTATCTAAAACTTACATCAAATATAGAGCCATCAGCACAATGTAACACTCCTGGTCCATGTCTCTTGTCTGCAACCCAATATCCCTCGTATCTGTCCCCATTGCTGGAAAGTACCAATAAAATGGTCAATTCAAGAAATTATTATAAATGGCAATACTTTGGGTAGAGGTGGTGCTAAGGTGGTTGGATAAAGCAGGTTTAATTAACCTAAATGACATATTAACATGACTAAGGTTTAATTAATAAAGTGTCCAATTTATCTACAAAAAAATGTAGGTGTATAGTCTACTTAGGGTTTTCTATAGACAGGTGTTTTAAATAATTTGAAAGGTCAATTAAATCAATTAAAACATATTGAATCTGTATTTTCGTCATATCAAAATTGTGGATCACTTGGATCACTGCTTTTTATGTTACAAAGTATTTTCCCATAAATTAGGTTAATTTCAATGACTTTTCATAAAAGTTTAAAGACAACTAACTTTATTTTATTACAATACATGAAGACACAAGCCTTTAAACTATTGATATTATTAATGAAAAATTATGTTCTGACACGTAATTATAAAATTCCAAACTAACACGCTAACAATGAATGATTAATTCATTAAATCTCTCTAATTGTTGAAGTTTAAATGTCACATTTTATTTTCTTAACTGTTCTAGCAATTTAAAATAATAAATTTTTATTCTGTTTCTTAGTCTTTTTTCTTTGATAAGTAAATAGTTATGTAATAAAACAATGTTCATTTACCTATCACTTTACATTCTAACCATTTTTACATGAATAAACCACTGATAAGTTACTGACTAAAAAGTTTTTATCATTATATTGTATTAGATCAAAATTTGCACTCCTCAGAAAGTATCTTTATGCATGAAGTTGCTTTACTATTAGATAAACCAGTAAGAGAATTTTGCTGTGGCATCAAATGCAATTGGAATGTCCTAATATCTTTTTTTTAAAAGCAAAGTACAATTTTTCAATCAATTCGTTCACTACAAAATTTAAAACCATAAATGTATGATCCCATAAAAAGATCACTTCATATGAATCGTAATTCAAGAATAAATGTACTTTCACAGAACATGAGTTTAATCATATATATATTTATTTAAATATGATACAGTGACATATAATTAGTTTCAGATGAAATGTTAAATAATAAATTTATTAGTAAGTCCAATAAATTCAGAAGAATTAATTCTGATGATAGCCACACAAAACAAAAATGCAAAAACATTCAATAGCAAACACTGGCAAAAATGTATGAATGTTTGAACTCCATTAAGCATCACTCTTGTACTTTCATAATCTCTTCATACCAGTATGTCTAGCACCTACAGGAATTATAACCAGTTTCCCTTTCGGAAAATACAATCTGTTAAATAAATGACAATGGAGGACTGTAGAATGATACAATGGCAGCAATTTGATAACAGCTGAGTCCTTCTATATCAGTTTATTGAAATTATCAATAAAATTCTACTTTGAATAATGTATTTTTGACATTGGAAAGTTCAAGGTCAAGTCAAGGTTATTCAGCATCATCTGGTGTTCAGTTTTTTTTAATTATTTTGTCTTCATTATATGCTGTTGATATGCTTATGACATTAGGTATCCATGAAATGTCCAACTATAACATTTTATTTTCATTTTTCAACCAAAACACAGTTCTATCTTTCAGGATACCAAAAATCAGAATTTTGTAGGACACTTTCAACTACTTCCACTTTGCTTTAATAGAGATGCATAGATTATATCATGCATAAACCCAGTTATTTAATATCTCAGATTTTAACTGATCATGCTATCCACTGAAGAAGTAGAATTCAAAAGACCAAACAGTTTTTAACTGGCTTTTCTGGACTAAATTCTATAAATACAATTCTTTTTGAAAATATCTTCAGATTTTTACTAGGTCAACCCTTACTGGACCAAATTTCTTCCAGCAGAAATTCTTGATTTGGTAATCCAGCTTTGGTTTAGAAAAGTGTGTTTCTGATTAGAAATAAGTGTTAAATAAAAATGTAGATCTTATAAAATTTTTACTAGATTGCTGAATGTCAGGCCAGTAGCCAGGATGTTTCAAGGAGGGGGGAGTATTTTGGGGCATGACACTCTAATCTTAATAGTCAAACTTCATTCTGAATTTCATATTTAACAGTCTCTACTAGAAATTTTGGTTTTCAGGAGGTTGGGGGTTCAGGTGTGAATGTGAATGTTCAGACTGGAAACCAATTTGCCTATATTTGGACAACAATACAAGATTTATATCTCTTCATTTTCTTATAAGATAACCTCATGTTAACACACATATATGTATACAAAAATCCTACAAGATTAAGGTTTTACAAGGTGAACACTAGCAAAACATTAAAAAAATAGATTAGGTGTAATAGAAAAAAAAATCTGGCTTTACTAAGAAAGAAGTGAAATCGTAAAATTCTTAAGATTGAAAACAACTATGATAAAGAGTCTTTAATCAGAAAAAAAAGTATATTCATGTTTTGTCAGTAAAATGTTAAAAAATATAAATATATATAGAATATTAAATCAGGCAAATCAAAGAATGAAATGTAATAATTTCAAAATCAGTAAAGTTGGAAACAAAATTAAAATGATGACTCTAAGAAAAATTCTAAAACAGTATTGCAAAAAAAAAACCTTTTAATGATGTTTCTTCCATGTCAGTTTCTTGACAACAATATGTTAAATTGTATAGATTAAAGCCAAGACTACAAACTGGTCTAAATAACTGTTCTATTAAAAATATGTGATTTCAAAAAAAAATACCATAAAAGCACAACCCTTACATGAAAAACATCACTTCCATAAAGGTGACATTGAATAGCCTTGGACTAGTTGAAAATAGTGGTGTTTATTTCACACTAATAAGGACTAGTAACTAGGCTAACAGTTTAGTTACTATAGATATTCCTTATTGTCCAATACAATGACAAAAAGTTCAGACCCATGTTTTCATTATAATTGACTTTGAACTAGCTTACAGTAACTGCAAGTACTCTTAGATTGGTATTTTGTGTATTTATATTTTTGTTGTGCTTCATTCTAATCTGATGAGTCAAGTTCTTTCCAACTGACTTTTACAGAATGTTCTAATGTTGTGCCATAACACCACTGTCCCAGGTTAGGGTAGGGTCTCACTAGTCCAAATAATTATGATGTCTTGAATTATTTGGACTAGGGTCTCACAAGCATGTTTAACCCTGCCACATTCTTTTCTTTTAAATTAGACTTGGCCAAGTCACTGGGGTCTGTAATTCAATGGTTTTAGTTGGTTGCTGTCTCCCATATTTATTTTTCTTATACATAGTGTTTTTAGCATAAATCAGGTTGTTTGTTTTCTCTTTTGAATTGTTCCACATTTTGTCAAGCTGGGACTTTTTATAGCTTACTTTAAATATGGATTTTGCTCATTGTTGAAGGCATCCTCATCTTTTTGTCTCTGGTTGATAATTGTGTCATTGACAATCATACGACGTCTTATTTTACAGAAACCTTCTATCTTACAAGTAGGCTTGTTGTACTGCAACTTTTAGTTTTGATATTTTTTTCCTTCGTATTTACCTTTATGTTGAATACCTAATTCAAAGTATGCTAAAAATGTTTTTGCAAAACTTGATCATGCATAATATTGTATTGACATGACATAATTACCATATAAGGTTAGGGTTTAGACACTGGGAAAATGTGAAGCTGTGCCATGATTTGAGGAAAATGAACAATATGATAAGTTTAACTGAATCTATAACTCTCTGCAGATAAAAATTGTCATCTAGCAAACACAGAACTTCAAAAAAGTTCACACGCATCTCAAAAATACACTGTAAGTAACATCATGCTATGATAAAGATAAAAACCACAAAGCCAGAAAAAAATAGCAGTGAAATTTTCTTATAAAGCTATAAAGATGTAAAAATTAAATAATACCTGGTTTTATCAAATCTCATTGGCCTACAAACAGTTTATAATACTTATTTCTGTAAACAAGACAAATCAACATGCACAACTTACAACAATATTATAGCAAGACATAGATTGTTTTTGACAAAATCATTTTTATAGATTTTAAATAATATACATTTTTTTTATGTATGCAAAATAAATACGACTTAAACTTGCATGAGGAAAAGAAGGAGATAATTCATGACAGTGGTGTAGAAATTGGGATACATTACGCAACTAAAAACTCCATAACAAGCAATTGAAAAATTATACATAGATAAAAAAATAAAAAAATTTGATGCATATATCTAGCATAAAAAAAAATCCTATCATTTTAAAGTCAGTTGTTTTAGATAATATTACATATATTAAAAATAATATGAATTCAGTTGGTAAATATAACATTCATATTTTGTCTTGATGCATTTACGATATCTGTAGAATTTACATATTCTGTAGAAATATTAAAAACATAAGTTGGATTACAAAACAACTTACGCATATACCATTCTTCCTTCACCGTGTCTCATATTTGACTGATAACCTCCATCATACTGTGTTAATGGTGTTCTCATTATACCATATCCTACAATAAAAGTAGATTTCTTCATATGACACAGATGCCCTTTCTTAGCTGTTAAAGAGTTAACTTTATTCATGATTTGGCCTTTAAACTATTTAGATTCGAGCTCCACTGATGAGTCTTGTGAAGAATAAACATATGTCAGGCATACAAAATTATAAGCCTGGTATTTTTGATGAGTTCATTTTTATAAAGCTTTGGCAAGGTAAAATAAACACTTACATTCTCATCCCTGCACAATCGTTTGTACAGATGTATAATGACTTTGGACGTGAATATGACACAATATTACCTCAAACCTAAATACCAATATCTTAAAATTATAGAACTGAAAATGTTAAAAAAAAAAATTGTTTTGTTTTGCATTAATTCTAGACTTTAGTTTTCTATGTTGTGTTTTGTATACTGCTGTTTGTTTTTTTGGTCCTTTTGTTTTTTTGCCATGGCAATGTCAGTTTATTTTCAACTTATGAGTTTGAATACATGTATGTCCCTTTGGTATCTTTTGCCACACTTCTACTTAAACTGTACAAGTTTTATAAACATACCATTTTTTCTATTGTGTACAAAATTTCCTTCATATTCTGAGCTATCAGGGAATTCCATGATTCCTCTCCCATGCATTTCACCTTTTACAAATTGTCCTTTGTATTTACATTTTGTTTCTGAAAAAAACTTAAATCCTGTGCCAGTTATCTCCCCTTGGTTAAATTGTCCTTCATAATATGTTCCATCCTTTAACAGTAATTTACCAAATCCTACAAAAGAAGTATAAATATATACAATAGATTCACTTTGGAGCTTGACACAAAAGACTCAGTACAATTTGGAGCTTAACACATGGTCTCGACACTGGTCTATTGTGGGAGACCATATGTTGACAAAAAGGTCTTGTCATTTAACAGGTTTTGTGTTGTTGGGTTGCTGTTTTGCTGACATATACCAGACACATCTTTTAACTCTTACATACAATTATGATGTTGTTTGAAAGGTTTAAAGTTTTGTTTGATACTAGAATTTAGGCCAGGGCTCACGCTACCAGGCGACTAGGGCGAAGAAGTCGCTTTCCCGTCCGTCACTTCGCTTTGCCCGACCCTCAAAAGCGAAAACAAGTCGCCCTGTTGTTGACGATACTCGCTTTCAGTCGCTTTCGTCATCGGACATTTTCAATTTTTACCAAGTTGATAAAACATCAATTTTTTATTGATTATTAAAGAAATGCATACATAAACGATTCATTTTCTTAAGAAATGAGGTTTAGGCATTGAATTTACCGTGTGTTGTAGGTTATTTAATAAAAAGACAACTTTTTATCACTGCATGCACTTCCGGTACTTGTTACTCAGAGAGCGTACATCAATCTAACTTTCGGCAGCAAAATAAGTTTGTTACTTCATTTGAAAGTGATAAAAGTTGCCTCCAGTAAATGTTTGATCCATTTATTGCATTAAAAACGTCATATTCTAAATTTTAGGGGACCAATAAAGTGGACTTATCATACATTCTACTTTTACTATAATTTAGCCAATGCCTTGTGGATTTAATAAATATAAACAACTCATTTTCTTTCAATCATTCTCTTAAAATAAAAGAGTAAGCTACACAAGTGTGTACATACTGGGAGATGTCACTCTGCTCTACTGATTGAATTTGATGTTGAAAGTCTTTAAGAATAAGGGTTTACAACAAACATTACATAAACTTAACATTATTAATGATCCATGAAAATAAGGTCATGGTTATTATCTGAGAAAACGGTGTAACCAAAAAATCTAAATGTTGACCAATGTATCATGATAATGAGGTCAAGGTCAAGGTCATATGAACCTGCCAGATTTTGGAGTGGGGATATTACTATGAGAATATTTAACAAACTCTTTCTGTTTCACTCAATAAATAATAAAGGAAAATGTGACAAAATAAATATTTACCATGCTTCTTTCCTTTCACCCATTCTCCTTCATATCGAAAATACTGGTTCTCAAACACATATACACCATGTCCTGAAAAAAAAACAACAAATGACTAGTAATTTTAACAGAAAAATTCAAATTTGAATAACAGAAGTAAAATAATGAAAAATGCTGTCAAAATGTACACATGAGATTCCATGAGTTAATTTATATAACCTTCTGATTTCAACTGCATCTATAATTTTAAATGACAAGCAAGCAAACACATTACTTATTCTTACTTTTCATTATTTAGTTTGAATTATTTGAGGAATAGATTGGAAAAGAAAATGATTTCCAAAATCCTTCCCATCGTCTAAACATAAGTAATTACATTGTACTGCATGCACTTAACCACTTGACAAGGCTTATTTTGAAGATACACACAATAATCCAATTTATTTAGAATAATTGACAGCATAGGTCACACATTAATACCCCCTTCCCCCATTTCCAAGGATACGGGAAGTCCATATTTGTTATGAGAAACATAGAGATCATCCATGTAGATAAAATAAAGAGTTAACATGCATGTATCAAATATAAGCTAAAAGAACTTGCCAAGGAATTTGTTTTTGTCCTGGCTGATAAGGCTGCTAATAATATCATTATTGTTTGACGTAAATTTTACATTGAGGTTCTGCAAAAGGAAATCACGAATTCACCAACATTCCAACTGACTCCATTTTTGGAAAATGACATCTCTAACAAACATAAACTTAATAGCTACCTCTTTACAAGCAGAACCAAATACAATGAAAGTTCCAACTATGTACTGGCTTCCGAAGCTGCACAAAACACCTTACAAATATAGATTTATTTCCTCTTCAAGCCATTATTCCACTACTAAACTCTCTATTCTACTTACTAGTACACTTGGTAGAATCAAAGTCATGGTAATAAATTGTTCAAATAAGGCCTTTGAAAATAGTGGAATTAATTACTTTTGGAGTGTCAAAAATTCATTGAAAGTACTTGATTTCGAATCTGTTCAAAGTTTTGATTTTTCTACCCTATATACCACTTTGCCTCATAATCTGTTTAAGAAAAAATTCACACACCTAATTAAATGGGCATTTAAAAAGTCAGAATGCGAATATATATGTTCAAACTCTTTTAGGTCATTTTTTAGTAACAACAAACAAAAGAACTATGTCAATTGGACCTGCTTTGATACTGTAACTGCCCTTGAATTTTTACTAGATAACATTTTTGTTCGCTACGGAGATTCCGAATATCGTCAAGTTATTTGAATTCCAATGGGGACTAACTGTGCACAACTTATTGCGGACCTGTTTCTGTATTGTTATGAGTTACAATTTATGACTAAAATCAGCAAAGACCCATCGAAACAACATCTTTTACAGAAATTTTATAACACTTATAGATATTTGGATGGTATATTGGCTCTCAATAATGACGACTTCAGCATGTACACTAAGGAGATTTATCCTGCTGAACTGACTTTAAATAAAGCTAATACTAACAATGAGCACTGTCCTTTCCTGGATCTTAATATCTATATTGTAAACCGGAAGCTTAATACCAAAATTTATGATAAAAGAGATGATTATTCATTTCCTATTGTTAATTATCCATTTTTAGATGGTGACGTTCCCTTGTCACCATCTTATGGTGTTTATATATCTCAACTTGTTAGATTTGCTCGTGTATGTAACAACGTATTTGATTTTAACGAAAGAAATCTCTGTATTACTGAAAAATTATTACACCAGGGTTTTTGATATCACAAACTAGTCAAAACATTTACTAAATTTTATCATCGGTACAAGGACATCATTCGTAAATATAAATCAACATGCAGACATCTTATACGTTCAGGTATTTCACATCCAATCTTTTATGGTAATATTCTATACAAAGCACAAAAATGTCGGCATTCACCTCAAAAGCTAACCAAACCTTTAAACAGACTTATTCAGAAGGGATATAGTTACGATACTGTTGTCAGGTCATTAAAGATTGCATTTTTTGGTATTAATATTGATACACTCATAGGGTCTGGTCTTTGCATCGGAAATAAACACATTTATTCTAAAACCAGTTGTTGGCATGATATGGATTATGTACTTCTCATATATTTTATGATGGTATGATACTGAACCCCTAACGGGAGGGATTGTGCTTGATTTTCATATGATGAAGACATAATCTTTCAATCAGTTTAATTGAGGTCTGGAGCTGGCATGTCAGTTACTGCTAGTAGTCCTTTGTCTAAATTTGTTAATTTATGTATCATTGTCATTTTGCTTAGTTTCTTTTGTTACCTATTCTGACATCAAACTCGGACTTCTTTAAAACTGAGTTTTACTGTGCGTATTGCTGTGTGTTTGTTTATTCTACATTGGCTAGAGGTATAGGGGGAGGGTTGAGATCTCACAAAACATGTTTAACCCCGACGCATTTTTACGCTGTCCCAAGTCAGGAGCCTCTGGCCTTTGTTAGTCTTGTATGCTTTTTTAATTTTAGTTCATTTATATGTTTTTGAGTTTAGTATGACGTCTATTTTCACAGAACTAGTACACATTTTTGTTTAGGGGCCAGCTGAAGCCCGCCTCTGGGTGCAGAATTTTCTCGCAGTGTTGAATACCCATTGGTGACCTTCGGCTGTTTTCTGCTCTTCGGTCGGGTTGTCGCTTTGACACATTCCCCATTTCCATTCTCAATTTTATGCTGAATTGTGTCGTATGTTTTAAATTTACTATTCGTAACTGAATTTGCATTTCTTCTATTTTATGGGTCCCCATACTTTACGGTTAAGGTTGAATTATGGATATGGTTAGGTTAGGATTTTTATTGGTTAGGGTTTGTTTTTCAGGTTTAGGTTAGTGTATTTTTTTTTTTTTACGCTGCATTTGTTTGCACCTGTCATAAGACATGCACCTGTTGTAGAGTGGTTGTCGTTTGTTGATGTGGTTCTTAAGTGTTTCTCGCTTTTTTATATAGATTAGACTGTTGGTTTTCCTGTTTGAATTGTTTTACACTAGTCATTTTGGGGCCCTTTATAGTTTGCTGTTCAGTGTGAGCCAAGGCTCCGTGTTGAAGGCCGTACTTTGACCTATAATTGTTTACTTTTTACACATGGTGACTTGGATGGAGAGTTGTCTCATTGGCACTCATACCACATCTTCTTATTTCTATGTACACCTTTTTATCATTCCATAATCCAAATATAGTTGACGGATTGCATTTTGGAGAGAATGCCCATTTAACCCAAGATGAAGATCACATGACACTAATTTTACGTTTTTGACCTTCATTAAGCCTAAATCTCTGATACTAAGTGATCTGCAAATATGACCAGGCTGGATCGCATGTCAATTAATAGGTGTACTAGATATCATTCTGCGGCCCAGCTCTGATCATATTATTTGCAGGGGAATTAACTCAAAGCTTATGTTGGTAGAGCATAATTCAGCTACCTTTTGCAATACAGATAATAGTTAGATAAACGTAAAATCAATATATCTGTTTATAAGAATATCACTTTATCAGATCTACCTTTCTTTTTTTAAACCCCAAAACTGCCTTTTTCAAACAATAATTTATGTCATTATTAGCTACCTTATAAACCTATCAAAATACATAACTCCTCAAAAAACAGAGGAGGGTCATTCTTTTATTTCACTTATTGAACTAATATATATATAATGGTCTCTTAGATACCTTTTTCTCAATAACACTGTCAAATTATAGAATTAATCATTTAAGAAAATATAAACATTTATAAGATCTTAATGTCAATTGGAAATGCTTGATTAGCTTACAAGTGCCATTTCTTTGTTATTTGACTGATAATCAAGCACATTATTCAATCATTTAAAGGTGATATATAACAATTTCACAAATATACCTTAATCCCTAATCCACGATTGTTAAGAAATGAATGCCTTATTATGACATGTTTGATATATGTAATATTTGTAATATTTGTAATATTTGTAAAAAGTTATTACTCAGTTTTGATATTGAGTCATCTCAAGCATTTTAAACTTACCAATTAAAAGTTAGATTTATTAAACAGAACCTTATGAAACTATTGCCAATGAAAAATACACATATTTTTTTATTTGGTGATACATACAAACATAAAACAATGTAAGGATGCATCTTAGGGACTGGGGAGATGAGCAGACTCTCATAAAAATCTAGGTTATGTTGACCTATATTTGAGGATTCTTCTATTCTAAAACTGGTGGATGGATTCGTTTTGGGCAATATAGCATTTTCCTTTTAAAGAAAGTTAGTCTGACATATATAAAAAAAAATCTGTTCAACAAATTTAAACACAGACATGTAAATTTTAAGATGCAAATTGAGCAAGAATGTATGTCTATAGGATATCATGCCCTGCTGTACTTTCACATCAATGTTGAGTGAACCTCCAAATTACAATCAAAATTCAAATCTGGTATATATTTGATAAAGTACTCATTAAAATGAACATGTGTACTAAGTTTCAAATTGATATGACCACAACTTCATGAATGCATATATGGTTAACTACTTTAACCATTATACACATTGTCACTTTTCAATGTATAGTGAACCACAAAATTTGGGTCAAAACTCTACTTTTGCATATACATTGTACTGTATTTCAAAAATGTAGAAAGTCTTATAACAACAACACTGGAGGGACTGCTGCAGAAAATTTATTGATCGACATGTTTCATAACGACCCTGCATACCCGAGGTATCCACTTCAGGGACTCTAACTCACTACAGACTCACCAGGCGTTGGTTCACTTTCGTTTGTAATTGTATTTCAAAAAGTTCACATCATTATGAACATGTGTACTAAGATAAGATAAGATACGATAAGATAAGTACTAAGATAAGATAAGATACGATAAGATAAGTACTAAGTTTCAAGTTGATATGACCACATATTTGTGAAAAACTACCTTAACCAAAAAAAGTTCAATCTGAAAAGTAACAGAAAAACAAATGAACACGATGTCATCAACGATCAATGATTTAAGCCAAAAAAATGTACTGTAATCCTTGATTAATTGTCTTATTTAAAACATTATAAATTGTCATAAATTAACTAAGATTTTCATTTATTTTCAGATAATTAACTTTTGCTTACCTGTCCCAAGTTTAGGAAATGGATTAACACTAAATGGTTTTCTCTCAGAATTTACTCTTTTAATTTTCTTGGTATGAATTTTCGGTAGTACAAATTCATCCACACTAAGTCTGCGTAATTTAAGCGTAGATTGTTGATTAGATGACATTTTCACAAGTGCACCATGATTACTGTAATGTGCTAGAACTGATGTCATTATGGAATTAATATACGAACAACGTTAAACCATTGGCTGCATTTCCACATGGGGGCACGAAGCAAACAAAATATATTAATATCTATGTATATCCTACATTTAACTTGATCAGCTTACTCCTGTTTAATGCAGTGAAAAAAAGATTACTCCAAAACCTAATTCTTAATCCAAATTTAAATCTAATAATGTCCTATACAACAAGCACTGAGTTTAAAAATTTAATATTATATGGAAGTTAAGTTCTATATCCGATGCATGTGTACTTTTATCTATAACAGTTTTTATTTTATATTAATATTCTTGTTGAAAAAGTATTTAATTTCTTTGGCAGTCAACAGTAATGATATATGGTTCACAGGTACATAGTGAAATATAATGAAGTCCATATATATAATAAAATGAGAATTTAACTAGGATATGAGAGAAGGTAATGGGGCTCAATAACATTTATATAAAGTCTTCTTTGGAAATCATACCAAAGCTCCTTATTTTTGATATTCTTGGATTTTGAAGACACATAAAAAAATTTAAACTGTTAAAACTTAAAGACTAAAATAAATGGAGAGATGTCCCCACTTGTAAATATGCATGAGTCAACTTCCACACACAGATGCAGGATTCACGTAGTTAAGACCGTTTTGTGATAATAAGCATTGTGTATAAGTTTCATAATATTTGGTTAAAGAATGGAAACGACAGATTTAGCAATTTTTCCATTTATAAAGGGGCATAACTCAAGAACGGTAAAAGTGACGCCACCCAATTTCACACTTGATCTGTCTTTTGTGGTAATAAGCACTGTGTATAAGTTTCATATCATTTGGTTGAGGCAAATCAAGTTAGATAACGGAAACCAATTTTGGGGATGTAATTGCGGCGGACGGACGGACAGACAAGGGTAACACTTAATACCCCTCCGCTACAGCAGGGGCATAAAAATTTAAGATTTTTCCCCTGTAGAAAATAGATTACTACTTAAAAAAAGTACTATCTTTCAACGGAATACTTAGCATATATCTTTTGGAAAGTACAATTTAACCATACACTAATAAATGCAAATGGAAAGAACAGAAATAAACCTATATGATATCAATCTCAATGATATAAATTTCTTTGTTGTCTATTTTCAAAAGTAAAGTAAAAAAGAAATGCTTATTCAGAAAAAAGCACCAAAAAAATTTTGGGTCAAAAGGACTTTTTTAAATAGATTAACCTTCTTGGTCTAGATTGATATGTTAATACAAAAATCCTTATCCTCATGAGCCTCTGAATTGTTGAAAGTTTAATCAGGTATTATGATAATATTGACATAATTATGTTAACCTTTGTGATCATTCCGATTTCTATATGAAAGACATTTAATCTTTTCAACACTTTTGTCCCCTTTACAAATAAATTTCCTCTTATCGCAGAGTAATTAATACAAGATATTAAACACTGCAGTACTTATATTACAAGTTTTGCCATTTAAATCATAACTATGATATTGACTTATTGTGATTTAGGTCAATAATATTGCCTTTTCTCTTCATTTATGAACAACAGGATAAGATGAAGATTTATATATATTGTAAAATATTGATCTTTAAAATAAAGAAGTCATCTGACTTTCTCTATAAAGTAAACATGTGAACAATAACATTTTACATAGTGTGAATACAGAAAGGGTTGATGATATTATGTAAAGACTGTCATCATTCTTTAAAATAAATTCTTATCAAAATGTTTTACTAGTAATAAATTCTGATTTTAACAATGTATGTATATACATGTATGTAAATTACAGGACCAGCATGGGTGCATTATTATTATAAAGCCAAGTTGGGATCCTACAAAAAACCTGAAGAAAATTATATACATGGCCATTGTGTGTAAGAAAACATAAGTATTGGGAAAACAGGAAGTTGATAAGTGGTAAGCATGAAAACACATCAGACAGGTATAATTTAGTTACATGAAACTTACGTCCAAATTTCAGGAAGCTCTGGTTAGTATTTCCTGGGGAAATTGTGACACAAATTTCATGGGACAGACAGAGGGACAGATGAAATAATGGAAAGACAAGCCTAAACCAATATACCCCTTCTTTTACAGCAATGGTATAAAATGGGTAAAAATTGTCAATAAAAGGCATTAACTCCTATAAGGAACCAATTAATATTTCGTTGATGTGACTTATTTGTAGATCTTGATTAACTGCTATAAGGAACCAATTAATATTTGGTTGATGTGACTTATTTGTAGATCTTGTAATGCTGATTATTTTGCTTTTACACTTTGTATCTTTCTATAACTGGTATATATATATAATAGTTTTCAAAATAAATAATTGAAATAGCAAAAAAACGCAAAAATGTCATTTAAGGACAATAATTCCTATAAGGTCACAGTACCCAAATATCACCCATTTAGCAAAAATATCAGCGGAAATCTTACAAGTTTTCTTAGAGACTAAACAGTTTGTATTTTTATGATTTGACATCATGCACGTCTTTCAACATACCTAAATATATTTTGAATAAACACAACACGATCATAGTATATATCAACAGATGAAGTATTCACTCGAAAAAGTAAAATCTATGGAAACATCGCCATGAGACGTCCACAACAAGTGAACTTTTAAAAATGAGCAATTAAAATATGTTACAGGTACCATTTCTTAAAAAAAGAATAGTAAGCATGGACTATTGTCAAATTGTTCTAAATATTTGGAGAAATATAATAAAATATCATTTTTGATTTTTACAAATGTGAATTTAAGCATGGATGCAATTTGGGTACTCCTCATTAAATCACAGATCGTTTGGAGGTCGGTTCAAGTCAATTTTTATATGATTCAATAAAGATTCAAAATTAAATTAGTGGATCTATATAGTGAAGATGGATAAATCTACACAATAAATACAGAATGGAAACTTTTGTCTGGATCATAAATAAACGTGGGTGAAAAAACTGTCAATATAGGTGGAATTTTGGGAACCATCACGTTAAGCAGAAGATTAATGGTTTTCAACCATTTTGCCAATTTGTAGATCTTGAAATGCTGTCCAATTTGGTTGTTTTCAGTTTCTGCCTTATCTGTTATGGTTTTCAAGTCAAGGGCAAACATAACAAAAAAAAATTGGTAAAAATTGTGATTTAGGAGCAATAACTCCTGTAATGAGTCATTTCACAATTTTGGTCTAAATCGATGGTAGGGATCTTAAAGACATTCTGAGAATTTTGGTCTCAGACAGAATTTCTTTATCTAAAACACATCTTTAAGCCACTTGTATAATCAACACAATTTTTGAAAGAAGACAGTATTTGCCAAGTTTGGTCCAGATTGGCCTGGTTGGTTTATAAAAGTTTTTTTTTTAAAGTAACGACAAAGTCCCTAAGCAACAGCTTACATTGGCATGAAGGCCCAGCTGAGCTAAAAAATTTCATAAAGGGGTTCCATGGAACCCCGAGTCTCACCTGTGATCGCTGCTGTCAGTGTAAAATTGTAATGTTGACCTAAAAAGTGAGTCCATTTATCAGTAAAATGCAGAATTTAAAAAAAATAATAAAACTTTTGTTTGAGATGCTATTTCTTGGTCTTGAAGATTAGCATCTGTCCAAGTTTCATAACAATCCAGAAGGTTTACAAATTTATCATGTCAAAAAATTTCATTCCCAGACTGTCTGTAAACTGTAAAAAACTAAGTCCATCTATCATGTCTATCAGAAAAGTACTGAAAATGAAAAAAACATATTTTAAAAAGTTTCCTTCAGACATTATCTCTTAATCATTAAAAAGCTACTGCCAAAGTTCCATAAAATTGTATGAAGGTTTGACAAAGTATAAGGTAATAAGTATTGTGTATAGGTTTCATAATGTTTGGTTGGGGCAAACATAAGTTAGAGAACGGAAACTAAAATTTTTGCAATTTTCGATTTATAAAGGGGCATAACTAGATAATGATTAAAGTGATGCTACCAAAATTCAACTTGATCTGTGTTTTGTGATAAAAAGCATTGTGTATAAGTTTCATTACATTTGGTTGAGGCAACTTAAGTTAGAGAACGGAAACTAAAAATTTTGCATTTTTTTCCATTTATAAAGGGGCATAACTTGAGAATGGTTAAAGTGACCCCACCAAAATTCAAACTTAATCTTTATTTTGTGGTAATAAGCATTGTGAATATGTTTCATAAAATTTGGTTGAGGCAAACTTAAGTTAGAGAACGGAAACTAATAATTTTGTAATTTTTCCATTTCTAAAGGGGCATAACTCGAGAATGGTTAAAGTGACCCCACCAAAATTCAAACTTGATCTTTATTTTGTGGCAATAAGCATTGTGTATATGTTTCATAACATTTGGTTGAGGCAAACTTAAGTTAGAGAACTGAAACTAAACAAAATTTTGCAATTTTTCCATTTATAAACGGGCATAACTCTAGAACGGCTAAAGTGACGCCACCAAAATTCAAACTTGATTTGTGTTTTGTGGTAATTAGCATTGTGTATAAGTTTCATAACATTTGGTTGAGGCTTACTCAAGTTAGAGAATGGGAACCAATTTTGGACAAGGGTAAAACTTAATGCCCCCTCCGATACGGCGGGGGCATAAAAAAAGTCCATTTAACAGTAAAATACTAAAGATCGAAAAAGATATTTTCAAAATTTTGCTCTGGATACTGTATTTTAGTCAAAAACAATCTTCTGTCCAAATTTCATAAAATTCCATGAAGGTTTGACAAAGTTATTGATGTTTAAAAAAAACTTTAACCAGACTGAACCTAAATGATGGAGCCGCCAACACCGACAAAGAAAGGATCGCAATGTCTTGCTTTTGTGACATAAATGTTGCAGGCTCTACAAAAATCACCCTTAAATAAACTTCGGTCATCATGACCAAGAGTAAGTCTTGGATACAAACTATGTATGTTATGGATAAAAGTACTTAATAAGATTTTTAAACATTGATTAAAACAACAAGCTAGTATCAAAGATTTAAACCTATTGTTCACTTCGCTAATAATAAATTCACTTGAAGTAATCCTTTTATCCAATAAATATGCTGTATCATATGCACTCAGTAAATGTACTGAACGAGCATGTAACTTCACTTGTTTTACATTAGACTATG